AAATGGCGCCACCACAAGCGATTTATTTATTATTAATTATTGTTCCCTTGGGTTCTCAGTAGAACATACGGCTTCAACAACACTTCTCCACTTTCTTGTATTCTCTGACGTCCTCTACAGCTCAGCCTGAGATTGCCTATAACCTCTCATCTCCTCCGCACCACACGATCTACTCAATGTCACCCAAGGATTTGACGATCCACTCATCGCTTTCCATTGGGATTCCACTCGAGCGATGGCCTGCATTGAGCGCGATGTCATTCGACAGCCTCCTCAGTGGCGTATGCACGAACCATCTCCATTTTCTCCTACATATTTGTTGAGCGATCGGCTCTTAGTTGGTTTGTTCCCAGTCAATTCTTTCTGGCCGCCAGGCTGGCTATTTGATCTTCAGTCTTGAGCCAGCGAAGTGGGCAGCTGTTGATAAAAGTCCAAAGTGACTTGTTGGAAATCCTTTTCGTGATACGTAGGGCAAGTTACTGACCTGTATAGAAGAACTGACTGACTAACTTCACATTTGTGTTGAAAATCCAAATCTTGTTCTTTATACTGAGTGCAGACCATGTGCCATTGAGTGATTTCATTTGAAAATGATGTTCATCCTCTTCTAATATCTCATTCAATGATTCCTTTAAGTTAACATGATGTTGTTTGGTTGACAGTGATTGTTTCAAATCTCATTACTCATTGAATATGGAGGTATATTCATTTGATGAACGCCAAATACCAGAACACAATTTAAGCAGATACGTATTTTCGGTAACTTCACATCAGCCCTTACAATTACACAATGAAACATTAATCACTGGCATTTGAAATCAACATGGTTAGTTGAATTAAATTTCACGCATTTGAATTAGTGAATAACAATCAAGGTGATAATAATAGTAATATTAATAACAAGGATAATTTTGTTCAAATGTTTATATAAACCAGGTAGTCAGTCGTCGTGGATGTGTAGATGAATGTTGACTAGCAGTGGAATTCGAAATGTCCATCTCTGCAGCTGGGTGTACTTGCATTCCTCAGTGAGCGATGGTGTACTCACTGAGAACTGAGCCCAGTACCCGTCATTTTAAAAGCAAAAGCGTTACCCAATAGACCATTTGGGCCACAAGAGTCGGTTCGTCTTCAGTGGGAAGCAGCTTTTATTATTTGCTGTTAATTCACTTTTTTAGTGCGTCGACAACTTAGCGGTAGAATGCTCACCAACCACGCATGTCGTCAGGGGTTCGATCACCGGCTGATTCATTTCATACCAAGTGTAATAAAGACATAATAAGATTTTAATTACTGAAGAACATGACTGTTTGTACAAATTGTAGGTTAATGACGTAGTAATAACAAAATAGGTAGGAAGTTCGGACATAAAAAAAAGAACAGCAACCAGATCTAGTAATGCAGACAGGGATTGAAAATGTAAAAAATAAGGGAAATAAATAGGAAGGTTGGATAAGAAAGGCCATGACCATCATAAACAGGTATATTTTTTAATAATGACCATCCCATCGCCTTTCTCATCTAAGTTTCCTATTTATTCATGTTAAGTTTTCTTAATCCCTGTCTACACTACCATATTTTCATATCCACTTTTCCTCTTTATTTTGTCATTTTACTATTTCTACATATTTAATCCCTGATTGCATAAACAATTATTCATCACACCAGTTTCTTATCCAACCACCCTCTATATTTTGTTATTTTTACATTTCTAACTCCCAATTGCACAATGTCAATCTTCTTAGTTATTATAATGCTACCCTGTTTGAGTTTTGTCCGTCCCCCTGTTTATTATGGCATACGAATTCTTAATTGTAATTTTTATTAATTTACCCTTTGACCGGAAATTATTCTGGAACTTTCCCATCTATTTGAATAATCTTTATTGGTGGGACTGACTTCCGAACTTCCTACCTATTTTGTTATTATTACATCCTTAACCCATAATTTGTACAAACAGTCAAGTTCTTCAGTAATTACAGTCACATTATGTCTTTATTATACTTTGTAATTTTATTAATTTGACCTTTGACCTGAAATATTCCTAGAATAGTACTACTACCTATCTATCTTACTATATTGTGCATCCTGTCTGCTTGTTTATTGAACTTTGTAATATTACCAATTTAGCCTTTTTTTTCCTTCACGTTCCCAGTGGAACATAGGGCTTCAAGTGGCTTGGAGTTTCTGTAGCAGTGTTTTTATTTTTACGGGATGGAGTTGCTAGCCTCATGCCCAACCTTTCCTCTTTACCAGCTTTTATTTCTGGCTTAGAGAGGTAAAGGAGTGCGCCGACCGGGAATCGAACCCCGAACCATGTGCATGGTCGGCGAGCATCCTAACCGCTGTGCCACCGACGCACAATTTAACCTTTGGCCAAGAATAATTGTGGAACTTTCTCACTCATTTAATATAAATACACGAATATACAGCTTAAGTGATGACTTCGTGGAAAAGAAAATTTTCTTCGTTGCAACCGTCTATTTAATAATCCCTATAATAACAGTATGTGGTTTCCACAGTGTCATATTTCAGGTTGATTGTTCATACAGGATAACGGACAGAGTTGATTTCACATCACTTTTATGCTGAACTGAAAATTGTAGATTAGTAAATTCCTTGTCCAGTGGATGCATGTTAATGCACTTGACGTACAAGTTGGCACTTATAAGCTGCAACTCTCTTGGATTTAATGGTTTGTATACCTATAAACCCAATATCAGTCAAATTGTTTGACCGCCTTAATGAGATCCACCCAAACATTAAATTCACCGTGGAATATGAACACAACGACGAGTTCAATTTCCTGGACCTAAATGTACAAAGAAGAAACGACAGAACGGTTGAAAAAAGCATCTACAGAAAAGAAACCTGGACTGAACAATATCTTCACTACAACAGCTTCTGCCCAAATAACTATAAGAAGGGATTAGTAAGGATACTGTACGACTGAACCAGGAAGTTATGTTCACCTAACAAGGTAGAAGGAGAATTAAGCTTTGTTGGAAAATGCCTTAAGGAAGACGGGGATCCACAGGGGTTTATCCTAAAGTACAGCAAAGAAAGAGACGAGAAAGAGAAGTATCCAACAGTTGAAAAGGAGAAAGTGTTCATTTGCCTCCCATACAAAGGAGAAACAGTATCACAAAAGATTGAAAAGAGGATGAAAGGTGCAATAAAGAGATACTTCTCTGAAGCCAAGCTGGTGACATTATACAGCACTACATGCTCCATGAGCCAATCGAAACAGGATAAGTATCCTGCTGATGTTACCTCCAACCGCATTCATAAATTTACGTGCACCTGCGGCAACAAGTACATTAGAAGGACAGAAAGAAGGGCTTCTATGCGGTTTTCAGAGCATAAAAGGAAGCAGATATTTAGAAAGTGCAGTTACTAGACACCTTGTGGATTCAGGTTATTTCGTCAAGATTTCCAAATCCTTCAAAATATTAAACATAAAAAGGATAGCGAATTTGCTGAAGCAATTGCAATCAAACGTCTCAGACCAAACTTCTGCCCACAGAGAAAGAGGGAGCGCAGTCAATCCCTCACTTCCTTGGTAACCGTTTTACCTTCATTACACTGATTAGTTATTCACATTAGTGAGCTCAGCTCACTGAGCGAGTTTTCGATAAGATGAAGTTTAACCTTCTTAAGTTGCTATGTAAACGTACAAGCTAACACTGTTTATTACATTTTTCTGTTTTCTGTCTTTTCTCACTCCCTTTTTTTCGTAGTTTGATAGTATATAAATTGATGGTAACTTAAACTAAAAAATTGTAATACTTATATTCCGGATGCGTTCATCTTGCAATGTTTTCTCTATTACCTTTCAAAAATTGAAGTATGAAATGTTATTATTTATAACCATTGTAATTTTAGGCAGTTTGTAGTTGATCAGAACCTGTGAAATACAATGACATCATTTTATACTTCAAATCTGGTCTTTCTTTCTCTATCAAAATTCTTGTTCCTTTTCAATGGTTTATCAGATACTATCGGTCTATGTTGATGTTCACCTTCAAATCGACCTATTAATCAACAAGCTTTGAATTTAAATATATGGTTCTACATTTATTACATCAATCTGACAAATCTAGTGGGAAGTGGTCACCAGCAGGGTCCACTAAGTCAAGTACTAGGATACTTACTGACTCACCCACCACATTGTCTAGCGGCTGCATCAAGTATATATGGTGAATTAGCAGAAATTGGGATTCATGCGTTGGCAACTGGATCGGATCCCAGTGACTGGATGGTCTCAGAACTAGCTTTGTAACGGGAAGTCATGAGTTCGAACCCTGGCAATGTGTGTACTACTGAAGAGTTGGAAACTAGGAAGATACAGCCAACCATTACTCCCAGGTTTTCTAATGATTATGTAACTAATGTCAACTTGTCATCAAACTAATACAATTTTTTTGCATGGGGGATTTCATCATGAGCTGACATCAGTTAGAGAACCACTGGAAAACCTGGGAGTACTGCACAGCTGTTTTGTCCTACTTTGGGACTCTTCATCAGTACGCACCCACCGCCATGGCTCGAACCCAGGACCTTCTGGTTACAAGGCTAGCGAGCTCGTATACCATTAAGCCACTGGGACCTGATCCAATGTCCAGTCGATGAATTCTAACTTCTGCCAGTTCAAGATGTAGCGTGACCAATTCGCAGTGTCTTCTTCGATGAGTTACTGCCTCATCTTCAACCTGCTGTATCCTTCTGTTACCAGAAGGTCCTGGGCTGGAACCACGTTGGGTGCGTACTGATGTAGAGCTCCAAACCAGGGCGAAACAGCTGTCCAGTACTCCCAGTTGGTTTTCCAGTGGTTCTCTAACTGATGTCAGCTCATGATGAAATCCTCCATGCAATCAAACAAAAAATCCCTACAAAACCAATACTTGATAATACAATTTTTGTTGTAATATAAACCAAGATGTAAATTTTTGAACCCACTGCATTTGTTTTTCTTATTATTTTTTCTCCCGCTTAAATAGCTCTGAATAATTCGTGTCTTGTTTTCGATTCACGTTTGGTAATTGATATAAACTTTCACACAAATGATCCGTCAATACGAGCTGCTGGTCCAGTAACAAAATTGAAACGAATTTATTACAACGATTTTTGGAGACATGAAATTGCATACAGTTTGGAAGTTGGTCGACGTGTAAGATTTCATTCATTGCCTTATATAATGAATATGTAATGTATACATATATGTAATAGAAAAGATTTGTAGCTCAGGTGGATAACTTTGCTTTGGTTGTGTTCTCTGAGTTGAAGTCGTTCTGCAGAGACTGGAACTGATTGTTGTGCTCATTATTTAACCAAAAATCTGGGTAGGTTATATTGATCATACACTCGTAATAATTAAAACCAGTCATTTGGAATACACCCACAAATTAATCAATAAAATATTTGAAGACATTAAATTCCCCAAGAGGAGAAGAATTAAACAAAGGAATTCCATTCTTAGATGTTTTATTCAAGAGAACAAAGACAAGAAATTTAGAAACACAGGTCTACAGGAAATCAGCACACACACAGATCAAATACTCAACTATAACAACGGCAATAATCCAACGACTCACAAAATGAACTGTGTGAAAAATTATACTAAAAAAAATAAAAAACAAAAAAAAAACTTGATCATCATTCCCTTGGGTTCCGAGTAGAACATAGGGATTCAACAACACATCTCCATTTTGATCTATTTTCTGCTGTCCTCTTCAGCTGGCGACACGATTGACCATAATTCCTCATATCCTCCAACTCTCACGATCTCCTCCATGTCACTCTCCTTGCATCAGCAACCTGCACTGAGCTCAATGTCATTCGAAAGCCTCCTCAACGTGTGCCTGAATCATCTTCATTTTCTCCTACATATTTGTTGAGCAATCGGCTCTCGCCTGTTGGCTTGTTCCCAGCCAGCCAGAGTTTCCTGCTGCTAATTCTTCCTGACCGTTGAATCTTCAGTATGTAGCCAGCCAGTGAAGGTGGCAGCTGCTCACAAAAGTTTGAAGTGGCTTGTTGGAAATGCTTTTCTTGACTTGAATGCCAATTTTATGTCCCGTATAGAAGAACTGACTGACTGACTTGACATTTGTGTTGAAAATTCGAATCTTGTTCTTTGTGCTGGCTAAGTTGGTGCAAAAGATTTGCAAACTGGTCTTTGCCATTTCGGAGTGGCTTTGAAATTTTCACCCATGCTATCAGCCTGTGATTGAAACCGTAGTTGACGACCAGATAAGTAAAGGAGGTGACCTCTGTCAAATCTCTCCCGTTGATGGTGTTTGGTGTTGGTTATTGTCACTGTTGCAGTTGGTTGGTTGTCTTCATCGCCTTCACTTTTTCTATATTCACCAGGATGGTGTCCTGTCTTCGCTGTCTGCTTCTTCAGCCAAGACAGGACTCCAAGTATTCAGTATTATTATGCAGACCGAAAGAAAACAAGATCAACACCGTCTAGAGAATAAACTGTACCAACTGTGATAAACACTATATTAGTCAAAGTAGGCGTCCTCTTCGACCCAAAATCAAAGGTCATATATTGGCTGTGAAAAGATACGATATATTTTCCTTCATATTGATGCATGCAAACAATTGCAAACATCATCTTGATCAGGGAAATATGTAGATTTTAAACAGTTGAAACACAAAAACTGCCAGGTAATTTCTAGAAGCCTGGTACTCAGATGCATCAGTGGTTAACAGCCAAATCACACGACAAGAAAACTCAAAGTTGAAGTCAGTAAAATTTATCAACACTGATGCATTATTAACAACCAGTCACGACAAAGTTTGTCAGGGGAGATACAATTATATCATCACCTCATTTTGAAGCTCACACTGCAGTGGTGTTGCCAGGAAGGACAACGAACGCTTCGCGATTGAATCAGCCAGCTCAGAGAACACAACCACAAAACCAGTTTACTTATTTCACAATTGGCTGTTCAATTTATTCCACTACACTTGTTTTTCATTATGAATTTAGCTCCAATCTCATTTGCCTTCTAGTCCATAATGGGGAATACAGGGAATTCAGTTTGACAGGGTCTACCGGAAGTGATTATTCTTCCTAAATCATACTTTTTTGAAATTAATTTCTACTTCCTAATGAGTTACAATATTAAATGACATAATTACATAAAGACCACTTTTTATGTTCTAAAAATTTCACTAATCATGTCAAGCATTAGCTCCTACTGTTTGAAGCTAATGTTATTACTAGTAATGCTCATAGCATTTACTACGTTCTGTCCCACTTTAACAAAGATATTTATCATCAAGTGTAGGGTGTAGCGGTCGGCTCCCTATTGGGTCTTCTTTTAGCCAAAAATGAAGTAGGAAATCGTCAACTTAAAATTGCTATCAACGAAGATAATATGGGTGATAGTTTCATCTTGCACGAAAATAAATCAATACGGACATCTTTCTCAAAATGTTTTGTATGGCTCATCCACAAATTGAGTCCAGAAAGATAATACCTTATCATTTCATAATGTAATTCTAACAAGAAGGCAACAGATGACAGTATTAAGCAGAGTATTTTCTGGAAAAATTAGTGGGTTGGTCAATACACTAATTCCATGCAGTTTTTTCCTCTTGCATACCGGCGAAATTTCATCAGTGCCCCGATCTTTTGTGCTAGAAAAATCTGAACGACCAGCACTCTTGATGATGAAATAAGGAAAATAGAAAACTTCTCATATGAGAACGGATATTCAGTAAAAATTTGTTGAAGTCTTCATTATGAGAACATAAATGTAGAAATACATGCAAACATTGCAGAAGAAACATTTGTTTACATGACCTTACCGTTCAAGGGAGACGCAGTGAATGAATTACTGGCAATGAAACTCCGAATAGATAAAACATTCTTTACTGCCTCACTATGTTTAGAGTTCACCGCTTGTCGTATGATTCCAAAGCAGGTGAAGGATAAGCTACCTAGTCCGGCCACTTCAATGTGCACTTACAAAGTTAACTGTTCTTGTGGAGACAGTCACATGGGTAGAAGGACTCCTCAAAACCTCCTCCGGCTTCTTAAGCATTATCCAAAGTGGTCAGGTAAAGGAGTCATAAAGTCATTTAGGTGTTCCATATTGGCACACTTTGTGTGAAGGGATCACAAGACTGATGGAAATTCAGCCCTTACAATTCTATACAAGGTGCCACCTCAGTTCCTTAAGTTTGCACACCTTCGATTGCAAAACATTGCTGAAGTGGGTCCCATAAAGATTTTTCAACCAGCTCTCTGTGTTCAGAAAATGTTCAATCGCCCTACGTTTTATGGTCTTCAACCTCTACTCAGAATAGTCATCTCTCTCATTGACACCAGATAACTGTAAATATCATTTTTTAAGTATTGATTTGTAGGGATTTGATTGACTGGTTACAGGATTTCATCATGAGCTGACATCGGTTAGAGAACCATTTGAAAACCTGGGAGTGCTGGACAACTGTTTCGTCTAGTACTGTCAAATCTCTACAAACCAATACTTTAGTATCAATGAGATGTTTACTAGCGGCTAGCCTCATTCAGGTAGGTAGTTAACTGGGTTCTAGTAGGAAGTGGTGACCAGTAGGGTGCAGCAGGTTGGGTGTGAGGAAAAATACTCGCGGAAGACATTGGCTAGCAGTGACGCTATGTCGTGAATTAGCAGAAGTTGGAATTCATGGAGTGGAAATTGGATCGGGTCCTAGGGGCTTAATGGTCTACGAGATCGCCTCGTGACGAGAAGGTCCTGGATTCGAACCCTGGCGGTGGGTGCGTACTGATGAAGAATCCCAAACTAGGACGAAACAACTGTCCAGTACTTCCAGCCTTTCCAATGATTCTCTAACCGATGTCAGCTCATGATGAAATCCTATAATCAAATATCATTTTTATTTGTATTACTAAATGTATCATCAATATCATGCTATGCTACAGTTGCATATTTTAATCCTAGTTTCACAATTTATTATTATTATTCTACTTAAGTTGTACTTGATTTTATCTGATTGTATTGATCCACAGTGTTTCAAACGCCTATGAATGATATTTTATTATATGCTTGTAAAGCCCAATGAGAATTTACTGAAAATAAGTATGTGCCTACTTAAATCGTCTCCTAAAATTATTCCACAGGCGTCAGAATGAAATCTTGAAAACCCTACAGTTGTTCGGTCGAAAAACGGTTACCTCTAAAAAAGTTAACAGCTGATAGTGGCTAGTGTCATAATCCAGGATATACATTTCATCTTATCTACGACTTCTCAGCTGTATGAATCTACATCCTCAGTGAGTGACGGTTTTCTCACTAGGAATCGAACTCAGCGTTCGAAACGAGAGATGATGGGTTGTTAAATAAGCCAATGGGCCATGGGAATCGCCTATTGAGTATTAAACATCACTATTCATTGGGAATGCCGGTTCACCCAACTGACGAGTCCCAAATGCTCATCCTTGTTTATACTACTCAACAACATCAACCAGATAACGTCGTATTAGTCATCAGACAGCATTAGAAGCACCCTTGCTAGCTGGTGATATATCAACAGAGACTGAGCCTTTCAATAAAATGTGATAAACCAACCAGAATTAGAAATAATCTTGAACAAATAATAAATCAGATAAGCAGTTTATGCCCACATTTTATAAATTATTCCTCTATTTTGTGGATTATATTCACATATCATAAAATTGTTTGTATGAAGTAGAAATATATTTGTCTTTTATATGACCTTTTGAAGTGATTAATTTTTTAATTGTCAAGTTTTATGACTTCTCACTAAACGCAGGTTTATTTGAATATACACAATAAACGGTTTTTTTTTAAGATAGGCTAACAAAACCGATTATTCCTTTGCTTGATTTGTTTTTTAAATCTATCTATATATTGATTTATCGGGCTGTATTGATCAGTTGCTCTTTCTCTCTTCGTATTGATTAGCTTTATATATAAACTTTACAATATTGCCTTTGATTTAGTCTTGGTTATATACATATATATTCAGTAGTGCCTAACAGTGGAAATAATTGACAGAGAGAAATGAATTTGCAGTTTTCACTTAAGAAAGATTGTATACCTAATAAAATAAGTAAGCCAATCGATCAAATTGCGAAGGTGCATGGGGATTTAGATGGCTAGCACACGTGCTATGCATGCCCAACCATTGTTTTCCCCGCTGAACAGTGTTAGCTGGTGAGGAGTTACGGATTGTCAAAAAGAAAAAACATGTCAACAATGCGCGAAGTCTTCGATAAATGGTTTCGGCTAGGTAGAGATTTGTAAACTGCCCAGTTGGGGTCCTAGGCATGCTGATGCTAAGAACTAATGACTGGAGACTGTTGATGATATGCTTCAAAGCGGTTCCCAAATCGAGTGAAACTTAATTTTCATATGCTTATTCGTTCTCTTTTACATTTCTGTGGAGAGCAAGAGAATAGGATTAGATGGAGGATTTTATCATGAGCTGACATCAGTTAGAGAACCACTGGAAAACCTGGGAGTACTGCACAGCTGTTTCGTCATAGTTTGGGACTCTTCATCAGTACACACCCACCGCCACGGTTCGAACCCAGGACCTTCTGGTTACAAGGCGAGCTAGCTCGTAGACCATTGAGCCACTAGGACCCGATCCAATGGCCAACACATGAATTCCAACTTCTGCCAATTCACGACATAGCGTGACCATTTCGCAATGTCTTCTTCGATGGGTTACTGCCTCATCTTCAACCTGCTCTACCCTACTGGTCATGGCTTCCCACCAGAACCCCAGTTCACTACCTGAATACGGCCAGTCGCTAGTGATCATCAGAATAGGATTACACTGAAGTGATAAGAAGATTCTGGCAGATTTTGATTTCGCGAATGATTTATGTCTCATGTCGCACAAACCTGAAGACTTACAGTCAAAAACCAAGTTGTTGGCAGAAGAAGTAGACAGTGAAGACAGGACTTTGAGTGAACATACAGAAGAAGACTGAGGTGATGAAGATAATCAACCAAAATAGTTTTGTCAAACAAATATGACGAAGAAAATGGAGACGGACTGAAAGTACATTAACGAGACCTTTGAGTGATATCAAGCGTCAAGGCATCGCTTGAGTGGAAGCTAAAAATAAAACGATGATTTGGGCGTCGGTCTGAGGGTGGTATGGAGAAGACAGTGGGATGAAGGGATGAGTGCATATGGACAACTGAAGAGTCAGCTGAAGAGGACTTTAGAGAACAGGATGAACTGGAGACATGCTACGGAGGCCCTATATTCCACTAGGAACCTAAGCAAATAATACTTATAGTAATAATAACTTGAACTGTTACACTCTTGTGTAGAGCTCTATTCTGAAACTCATTCATTCAGTCAGTCAAAATAAGGTTAAAATGGTTGATTCAATAGAAGTTTATTCTACGTTCCACAAGAAATGGCCAGTACAAATTGTCAAGTATTTGAAATTGTGAAAGAATCGCAATGTAGACAAGTTCATTTGCCAGACTAATGCTATTTGCTGTATAGTTAATCTTTTCCTGTACAGCCTACTCAAAAACCACGATATCAGTCCATCTGATTGAATACTTTTTTCCTTAAAATTAGAAATTACATAATAATTCGTGGCAACCTAATTCCGGTTGATAAAATACACAAGATAACAGTTTTACTTCTTTGTTATTGTTATTCTCTAGGGTTCTGAGTAGGAAACAGGACTTCAAAAGCACATCTCTGAAACCCTCTTTAGCTGGCTCTATGATTATCCATAAACTTTCATCTCCTCCTCACGTCATTTAACTAAACGGTTTCCACAGCGCGTGTCAGAACCACCTCTATCTTCTTCGGAATATTCGTTAAGCTGAAGGCTGTTGGTTACTTTGTTCTTGCCAGACATCTGATCTTCTGTATGGAACCAGTGAAGGCATTTGTTAATATAACTCTGGAACCTCTTCGAAATGCTTTCTTTGACACAATACGTCTTAGAACCATAAAACTGCCCTGACTAACTTGACATTCGTGCTGGAAATCTGAATCTTGTTCTTTGTATCGAGTGCAATAGATTTCCACGCTAATTTTGGAGTAGTGAATGTTTGTCTTGATTTTCTGATCTTGGCTGACTTTACCACTCTCAGTTGTGGTACCTGTAGCTGAATCTATACTGTCCAGATAAGTGAAAGTGACCTTCCTCTAATATCCCCTGCGCTTGCATCTGTATCACCTCTGTCTTTTCTGTTTTCACTTGAAGTTCTGTCTTCACTGCCTGTCTGCCTCTCCTTCCGACTTTTATGGCCATTTTATCGGTTCAACGTGTTTCTTTCTTCTCTCTTCCATGGTCTTCCGTATGATTCAGTCAACCTCACTCAGAAATATCACCATCAGTGATACTAGGCAGCGTCGTTTTACTCCTGTCATCATTTCAAAGGTATTACTGAGTTTTCTGTTGCGTAAATCTCTTGGCACTGGCATATTGTTGTTGAATGAGGTTGATAGAGGTTTGGGGTATTGCACTCCATGGATGTGAAGTAGTTTCCAGATTACTTCATGGTCACCTCTGTTGAAAGCCTTTTGAAAATCGATAAATATGAGGCAGAGATCTGACTGCCATTCTATGCTCTGTTTGATGATAATGTGTAGTATTGCAGTTTGATGAGATCGTAATTTATTTTCTTGAATCCACTCTGTTCTGGGTGCAGATTTGCATTCACAGCATCATTCAGTCTCTCCAGGATGATATGATTTGTTAATTTACTTAATGTAGAGAAGAACATGACTCAGCTTCAGAAAGTATGTTAAGTGTAACAATAAATGTGATCCGGTACACAGAAATTGGTGTAATTTTACTAAAATTAGTGTCTTTTATCATCCTAATTTCTACTGCATCTCTTATTGTTTTTAATTATCTCAATTGATTTCCAATTTCTTCATTTTAACGTTAATTTTTCTGAAATGCAGATGTTATTTTGAATTATTCTGAGCGCTTACATCAAATTTGTTTTAAATAAAGTTAATCCTTTAATAACGCTATCTGAATTAGCTTTCTTGTATTGGCACCACGTGATTAATTCTACATTTCACCTACTACATTGGTAAAACACTTTTACTTGCGGTCTACACTCTGATGTGTATGATTTTTTATTCCTTGACGCTCTCAGTGGAACGTAGGGCTTCAAGCTACAGGCTTGAAGTTTCTTTAAGGGGTGGGTTGCTAGCCTCATGCTCAACCTTCCCTCTTTACCAGACTTATTACCGGCTTAGCGAGGTAAAGGAGTGCGTCAGTGGCCGGGGATCGAACCCCGAGCTGGCGAGCATTCTACCACTTTGCCACCGACTCACGATGTGTATGATAATAAAGTTAAGTCTCTAATTAATACTCTACAACTACTATTTTTATTTTTATTTCATAATTATTTTATTATAATTATTATTACAGTTAGGTGATCAACTATTAGATTTATTTGATCCAAATACTGAGAAACCGAAAAAACCGCCAACAGATAATTTAAATATTTTGCCAACATTTAATGATCCGAAGATAATTTCCGCACAACTACCGGGTAATTTAAACTATCTACACTTTTCAAAACCATGTTTATGGGAACCGCTGGAAGTGAGAATGAAAAATCCAGATTTTGTAAGTTATTCCAAATGTATGAATTTATTGAACTTTTTTTAAAAATTTGATTTTATGCGCAATAGAGAACTAATAAATTAGCAGGGTAATTCGATAGTCCCATACTCTGTTCTCATTTTACTTTCGAGAAATAACTATAAACTAACTAATTTCGTTCATTCTATGTGTATCTAACAGTCCTGTGGAGCTAGTTACATTAAACGTAGAACTAGGCAGGCTCGTCATCGCATTTACGAACATTATCCTGTATGGTTAATCAAGTGACAAAGAAGACATATTCGTAGGTTTGTTTTAACTTACGTTGGAGATAATGAGCGTAAAGTTGATGTTAATACAGCATTCAAAATTACTTATCGCCAACGGACTGATATTAATTTCGCCTTATGAGCTCGTCTTCTACATATAGCTGAAGTCATTGGAATCCACTTCAAAAAAGCAGACCTGTTGTGTGTGTGTTTTCAGAAGGAATTTGTGCAGCCACTTCCTTGCTTCGGTTATCGTAACATAAATGTAAAAGACTGACGATTTCTTCCTCCCCCTTAGCCTTTAACAAGTTGGCTTCATCTTTGTTTCGAATTATCACATGATATGAGATGGTGAATTATGGGAAATCAGGGAGTAATGGACAGCTGTTTCGTCACCCTAGTTTGGGACTCATCGGCAGTATGCACCCACCACCAAGACTCGAACCCAGGACCTTCCAGTAACAAGGCAACCTCGCAGACCATCCAGCCACTGGGACCCAATTGAACAGCCAGTCAATGAATTCCAACTTCTACCAATTCGTGATTTTAGCGCAGCCACCAGCCAATATAATCTGATGCTCGCTAGTGACTGTTTGCACTACGAATTTGTCTGTAATTCTAGTGTGAAGTCGTGACCAGTGCGGTCAAACTGGTCAGCAGTGAAGACAAATACTCGCCTCCAATGAAATTGGTTGGTTCTAATCACGCTAAGACCACGAACTGGAGAGGTCAGAATTCACAGGCCATTGAGTCGGGTCAGGTGAACATAGAGAAAACAGTGATGAAGATTCCTGACCAACAGCAACAGACAACAATCAGCATAAATGGGAGAAATCTGAAAGAAGCAACCTCCTTTACCTACCAACCTGGGCATATCAAAGCGAGGATCGGGAAAGCAAGGCAAGCCTTCAGTACTCTCAAGTTTGTGTGGAGATCAACAGCACTCAGCACGAAAAATAACATCCGGATTTTCAACTCCGATGTGAAGTCAGTGCTACTATACAGATCAGAGACTTGGCGCGTCACGAAGGCCACTTCAAACAAACTACAGGCCTTCATCAACAGCTATCTTCGCTCAATACTACTCAAGATCAGATTGACAGAGAAGATCAGCAATAGTAAGGGATCTCTAAGAGCGAACCAACCCAGCAGGCACCGATTGTGCATCCAATATGCAGGAAGAAATGGAGGTAGATTAACCATACTCTGAGAAAACCATCAAATGACATCACACGACAGGTCATCGCTCGAGTGGAACCCGAATGGGAAACGGCAAGTTGGTCATCAGTGTGAGGGTGACATAGAGGAGGTGATGCGAAGAGGAGATGAAAAGATGTGGGCAGACGTGGAGTCAGGTGAATGTGTTGGCAGAGAACCTAACGCAATGGAGACGTGCGGCTGAAGCACTATGTTCCTCTAGGAACTAAAGGAAACAATAATAATTCGGGTCTTAGTGGCTGAGTGGTCTACAAGCTTGCCTTGTTACTGGAACGTCCTGATTTCAAACCGTAGTGTTGGGTGCGTACTGCCCATGAGTCCCAAAGTAGGAAGAAACAGGTGCCCAGTACTCCTTGCTAGTTTGCAGTGGTTCTCTAATTGATATCAATCCGTGAATAAACAAATTCCTGGAAATTTCTCCTAATTATTTTAATATTCTGACTACTTTATTTTCAACTGCTTATTGAGTACACACATTTATCTCTCACATAGTCCTTATCTTTCCAAAATTATGCATTGCGCAATACACTTGTTTGATTTTATTTTTCCAACTATTTCTACCCTTTAATTGGTACGTATAAACTTTTTTGGTCAATTATCACCTGGCCTTGAGATGTTTATATCGATTAATTATTGTTAACAAAATTATCACCACTTCACTGGTAGAATCTCTAGCATTGTATTAAAAATGCTGTATACATATATTAGAGTAGATGCATATATATATGACAGTCTAATTGAAAAGTAAATACTTCTTACGCTGCTTCCATTTTTCTTCTAAATTCAATAGCCGTCAGGATTTCAAATCAAGTGTTAAAGTAAATTCCGTTATAGTGAGAATCATTTCTTTGATTGGACACTAGTAACTAGTGTGATGTATCTAGTTCTTTCTTTGGTGCAGACTGAATTCTTTCATTCAGGTTTGCAATCTGGCCACCATTCTAGGTAGCTTGCCATCACGGTGCACATTGATTTGATGAAGGAAAAAAGTCTTGGACCTACGTTTCGTGCTAGTTGGCACTCACTAGTCAGCAAGGCGCATCTGCAACCTTGAAGGAACTCATGCCCCTCCTGAGATTCGAACCCGCGTCACCGAGTACTAACTGCAGTCAAAGACGATACAGCTGAGCTATTCGGGCTCGCGATTGACCTGCGTGATGGCGAGCTACCTAGAATGGTGGCCACATTGCAAACCTGACTGACAGAATTCAGTCTGCACCAAAGAAAGGACTAGACACATCACACTAGTTACTAGTGTCCAATCAAAATACCCATCACAGTCCTACAGGAGGTCAATCACTAGCCAGAATAGCAAGTCCAGTGGTAACGTCTCTGACTGCAGGTAGCACTGGGTGACGCGGGTTCGAATCTCAGAATGGACATGAGTTCCTTCAGTGTTGCAGATACGCCTTGCTGATTAGTGAGTGACAACTAGCACGAAACCTAGGTGCAAGACTTCCTTCTGATTGCATCCAACCATCCTAGAATCATTTCCTTTGTTAGTGACGTCTGTTATATGTCATAATAAGAGGAAACATTTGAAGTTATAGAGACAATGTATAAATGCTTTTTGAGATGATTCGTTTAGCCGTTTATTCACTGACTCTACTTTTGCATTTCCACGAATAATTGGAGTATATATATATATATCTTTCAGATTTTCCAATGAATTTTTGTCTATTCCCGTAAGAGTGTAAGGTACTGGTGGTGCTAGTAATTATTTGCACTATACCAGCCTCACTGAACGTATTATGCCTTATTACCCAATCAAACAGTACTCCACCTAAATGGTAAGTACTGATAACAAAACGCAAATTATAAAAACTCATAAAATTCGTAGTAAGCTGTGATTGGACTGTAGTTAGGAACTAACGCAATTTGTCTGGTCCTTTGTTTGGTGTAGACTGAATTCTATGAGTCAGGTTTGCAATGTGGCCACCATGCTAGGTGGTGCGCAATCACAGTGCACTTTGGATGGTCGGAGGTAATCGGTGGAAACCTTGGGTTTAGTTTACGTGCTAGTTGGCACTCACTAATCAGCACTAATCAGCGTATCTACAACACTGAAGGAACTCATGTCCTTTCTTAGATTCGAGCCGGCGTCACTCAGTGCTACCTGCAGTCAGAGACGTTACCACTGAGCTTCTCGGGTTAGCGATACGTTGATAGGACACCAGTTAGTACATTCGAAAGGAATAAACAGTACAGCTCATTTATAGAAAGGTTTTAAAACATACCTGGCCACTGTGCCTGAACTATGAACTCTTAGTCTCCACGTTTTCATAGAACAAGTAAGTAGCGCGAAATGGAGTTTTCGCGTGTATCCGAATTTGCATTCATTAAAACAAAACCTTAAACTCTGGAAAGTGCACTACAAGAGTAGCATTTGGTTTACTCTTCAACAGTTAACTTCTGAAAATTTGTTTATTGACCAGAAATTATTACTTCGGAGGAATGTGGAAACTGTACCTAGTCATTTTGACCTTATAAGCACAGAATGAGTTCTCTATATGCCATGATTCGATTTTTATTTAGCACTCCATAAAAGCTAACGAACGCATAGTAGTAGTACATTTATTTTAATCATTTAAGTCTCGAATAGAAAATGGGGCTTCAAGTTGAAGCTTTGGATTTAGAGTAGCAGTGGTGTTATTCTTTTGTTTGCGGGGTGGGGTTGCTAGCCTCGCAACCAACTTTCCCTCTTTACTAGACTTAATTCTAGCTAAGCGATGTTACAGAGTGTCTCCCGGAGAGAAAGTCACTCAGTGAGGTAGTCGAGCCACATTGGCTAAGATGGCTCGGACAAGTGCCGCACATTCGGTGGTCAAACGGGAACTTGGAGTCAGTTTCTGAGATCCTTAACAGCTAGTTTGAGCTACGTAATATGGTGTCGGCTTCCCTGTTGGGGTCATGTGAATTCGAAGGACTAATGGCCATAGACTGCTGGTGATATGGCTCAACGCCGTTCTCATTGGCGCAGACACATTCACTCTCTGTGATCACCCATATCCATTAACAGCTTATTGTGTTTCCATGTTACTGTTCTTCCTCCATCATATTTCTGCTTATCCCCGATCTTTTCAGTCTCTTTTCTTCTCTCTTTTGTCTTCCTTTGTGTTGCGTATGCAGTGTGGTTGGTGTGAACTTCTGCATTTCTGTGCAAAGTTCTATGTTGAAGCCAGCCAGTCCATTGACGAGGGATAGACCTGAGGATCGCTTAGAGAGTACTCTACCACTGAACCACCGACGTACAAATTACTAAAGAATAACACAGAATTCCTATACGTACAAAAATCACTAACTAATGATTGAGTATAGCATAGAAGCTGTCAATCAGTAATTTTTAATAATATGCATAAACGGCGACCTTAAATCCTATGCATATAATAAAGAAAGTAAATAGATTAATATGGGGAATGATGATAGTGTTTTCAATCTGACAATCATTTGGATTTCTACATTTAATTTTTGTTTCTACTCTAGCCTTTATCATTCATTAAAAGTCCATCATAATTATAAATAGGTCTAGCCATAGTAGATTCCCTTTTAAGATGAAACTATAATGAATTGTCTTTTAATCACATTGACCGCGTAATGGACAATGTTAATTTGATTATTTGGTTATAAATTGTATAAATGCATTATCTAAAAAAGGGGTCACGATGAGTAAACTGTACGTAGAATCACACTGTCAAATCTTTTACGGAGTCTTTGTTCAGGTTACTGACATTTGTGTTACAAAGACCGATAACTCTACCGGGGGTTGAGACTACAACATTTAGTTTACAGAGTGACAGAAGTTGGAATTTATGCGCCACTGGATTGGATACCAATGACCGAATGGTCCACGTGCTTGTCTTGTGACTTGGAAGTCCTAGGTCTTAACTCTCCGAAAAGTCCCAAATAAGATGAAATAAACGTTTAGTACTCTAGGGGTTAGTTTTCAATCATTCTGTAACTGATATCAATCCGTGGTTAAACTTGATACAACAACTCCAATCCCCACAAATTAGCTTCTGAAAGTTCAGTACACTTTCGTGTCACGTCCGATCTATCTTGCACAATCCCTATCGAGGTAAACAATCACGACTGTTTTTGACATTCCTGATCCCGAAGCACACATTGTATTTAGCCTGATCATTTTGATATTTTGATCTGCCTCTTGCCTCAGTAGAATAAGTAATTTGCGAGTTAAGGGATAAACTGCGAAGTTTGTTATATAATTTTTATAAGTGTTTTTCTGTCTTTTGTTTTTGTAAAAGTATATCTGCGATTATTTTTGTGAGTACTAATTCATTCTTTCAATTTGTAGATGAAAGTTTTGAATTGAATTTTATGCTTTTCATTGACTGTTGTTCAAAAATGCCTATTATAGATTTCAAAAGACTGATTAAATAGTAAATAAAGAATATTCTTTTCGATAACTATCACATTAGGAGGTTCTACAATAGTATATCCACAACAGTAGTTAAACAATAATTGTTATTAGAAGCATTAATGTTCTGAATACCAATGAATCAATAACAACAACAATAGATTACAGTTCGAAAGTATCTGCAGGTGATAATATTCATCGGTAAAACATTAAACTGAATACCCAATAAATTGAGAAAAATAACAGTGAATATATAAATTTTCAAAAGAATGGATACTGAACAAAGAATACTCTTTTCGATAACCTGCTCTTCATCATGCTCTACAGTTATCTATACATTATAATGAATGAATGAATTAGTGTTACGAACAACATTAATGTTGTTTAAATAACATCGAATCAATAATGATAAATAAGTCGATTACAGTTCAATAGCATCAACATAAAATAAGCTGAATGTCAGAAAAATTAGGAAAGATAATATTACAAATTCATGAATTTATAGTCTCTACTGAAGGCTGGCCAGGGCAGTAGTAGTGGCTGACTGGACTTGCTTCTTTTGAACACAGAGCACTGGTTGTTTGAGGCGAATTGCAATAGCCTCTGCTGTTTGGAGCATGTGGTGCTTCGATGATTTTAGCAATTCATTAGGCACCCGGTAGATGATAGAGAAGGATTCTTCCACGCTGCCTTTGTGGCCGGTTTGTACCAGATGGTCCAATATCGAACTGTTAATGGTTTTCATTACACCTTTACTTAGCCATAGTGGGAGATGTTCCCGAGAGAGCACGAAAAATCAAGTTCCTAGAGTAACGGCCGATATAACTCGCTCCACAAGCGCAGTTGAATTGTTAGATACAATTGTAAGTGGCTAGTCTGGGTACTTCATCTTTCAGTCGAGGAATCGCCATCGGTGGTGTAGAGAATAAGTCGTGTATTTCGCCAGCGTTGAAAGTTCTTTCAACTGATTTTCTTAATTTCTTCGTAATTATTTCACTTGGTATATCGCCCTTGAATAGCAGTCGTGTATAAAGAGGCTTTTTGTTTACAGATAGTGAGTAGTCCTTTTCCGCTTTCTTTGTCATGTGTTTCTTGATAAATTTGTCGGGATAGCTAGCTATTTTTGACCGAAGTATCATATGCAGTGCTTAGTTCATCTTCAATTACTTCTTCTGAGCATATAGCTCTAACTCTGTGGCTGAGGGTCTTTATTAGATTTCTTTTGTACTTGATAGCAACGAAGCTGTGAAAATGTGTATATTGTCCTGTCCAGGTACTTTTTCTATGCAAATTTCTTTTTATGCTGCCATCTGCTTTTCTTGTAAGGAGGACGTTCAGGAAGGCAATTATGTCTTCCTCTTCGCATGTGAATTTCATAGCCGAATGTACTTCATTGAATTCAGTAATTATTTTACTCCTATCCGAATCATTATCACAAAGAATGAAGGTGTCATCCATATACCGGCAATAAAATGAGAACTTACTGATAAGGTTGTTCAAAAGTCCATTTTCTAGCTTACTTAGAAAGAAATCAGCCAAAATTGGACCCAATGTTGCAGTCGAAGATTGTTAACTTGAAATTTAAGAATTCTGAATTGGTGACTGGGGTAACGTCGCTTGTTTAACTGATAAGATTTTCGGATTGGACATACGTGTGAAGTCTGTTGCTGTTTAGATTTACGTCACAAAATTTCAACTCTAAGGACAGAGCTTCTAACTGTAACGTAGACAATCTGACTGAGGAGTGATTGATTCTATTAGTTTGCGCATATTCGAGCTGCAAAGAAACATATCACAGAGGTCTTCTGCCCTTTGCAAATTATCATCAAGTGAATATATTACCTTGGTTCAGAACAAGTCGGACATAAACAAGAGCCTCAAATCCGTCAAAATCCAGAAGAAGTTCCGCATTGATCCTAATTTAAGAACGTTCTCAATTAATGTTTAAAAAAAATAATATCGAATAGTTAGGGATAAGAGATTACAGCTCAAGAAATGAATTGATAGGTTCCATAAAAGTCCAGGGCAGCGATAGTGGTTGGAGCTATCTGTCTCCGTTGTAAACAAAGTTTTGGTTGTTTTCAATGAATTTCTATGGCTTCTGCTCCTTGAAGTAGTCAGTATCTGGAAGCCTTTGACAACTGATACTCATGTGTTGTCACAATATTCATGTGTTTGTATGTATTTAACCTTAAACGGAAATTTTATAAGTAACAGTGTTTTCAGAGTATTCAGCTGTGGAGGAGTCCTACCGAAATTTATGAATCCATTAAATAATGCAAGAACAATAGTGGTCTGTGCAGAATAATATGCTATTATCAAATGTTTATTTCGTTGGCTTCTCATCAGCTGCTGCTTACAGCCTGAATAAATTATTATTAAGTTCATGTACCTAAACGTCTTAAAATAGTTGCAAATTCCACATGATGTCAGTTGAATGAAGGTTCCGAAATTAGTGAAGAGTGCTCAGGAAATCGCGCTTATATAGCTTTTACAGAGACAGTTCAAGTTTAAACAAAGTAAATGTATGCATATAATGGTAAAGGGGTTACGTAACAAAGATGAGAGATGCGTAAGATTATGAGTAACTAATAAATCGGGTAAAAATGTACTGAGTTCAAGTCAAGCCATAGAAACAAGAGACAGGCAACATAACACTAAACCAAAGTGGGGTAAGGTTAAAGCTGAGAATTACGAAATTCAAATGAGAGAAAGAGAGAATAAAGAAATCAGGTTACAAGGTTGGCAAGGAAAGACTGATTACTGCTTCTTTCAGAACACATAAATCGGGTTTCAGGCGTTTGACAGAGATTGCTTCGGCAAACTTGAGAAGAAATGAGCGTTTTTATCTATTGATAGTTTTAAAAGAATTTGGGGTTACCACCTCACGAGCCATATCAAGATGCCTGGTAACGACACTTTTGTAAGCGTTTGTTCCCTTGAGACGTAGGCTTTTCGGTACTTGCTCTCTTTTTACTCCGTAGTGGGTCGGCTGGACCCGGACCAAGTGAGGCTTGGTCGACGAGTGTACTACCGTTAAACCACCGATATACGCAGTACTCCTGAGTGACTAAACCAATATCTACAAAAACAAATGACACCCGCAGGTCACTATTAATGTATTATTATTCTCATGGGCTTATATAACCGGTTCAACAGGATCAGTTGAAGGAGACATGGTTAGCCTAGGTATTTAGTCTCGCAGTTTCCAAATTCATCTATAAATAATAAAGTAGAAACATAATAATAATCCGTATATATATATATATATATATATCAAGTATGGAATGTTGTCTTGAATGTATTTGACTATATTCCTTTACTCTTCTTCTTCTTCCTACCTATAGGGACGTTTATTAGTCACCGGAGAGAATAGCAAGGAGAAGAGATACTTCTCAATTCATATTAACAAGTACAGTTTAATTGAAGGTGTAACCTGTTTATCTGCAAAGGTACGTCTTATCATGTTTCGTTCTTTATCTTCCTTTTTTGACCAACTATTTTTGTTATAAGTATTATATTTGGGCACTGTGGTAGAGTGTAACTCTACCGGACGACGAAAGCTTCGCGACTAAACCAACCAGCTCAGAGAACACTTTTACTTGCAAGAGTGTAACTCCATTATAGATAAGATTTCTATTTTGATAAATCACACAGTGGTGTTATACAGTAATATTAACTGATGACCACGTTTCGAGCACAAACTATTGCCACTGATAATCATATCAAGTCACTCACTCACACAACTTTCTTGCTTCATTTATATACATGAGTGTAACTGATGATTAGACATTTGAATAAAAATCAATATATGATAATGTATATTCAGAAATAATATTAGCGTTATCAATCAAATACAGTCAGATGAGAAATAAGATGTTTTTATAGTAAAATAAATAAATAACTTGTTAAATGTGAATTGATATACATTTTAACATTAGTTATTATCCTCCTCTGATTTGACTGCCGGTAATAATATCTTCCATGCATATCTCTGTTATTTGCGTTGAGTCATTTCTGTTGCTTGTGTTTTGCGAGCTACCTAGAATAGTGGCCACATTGCAAACCTCACTGACAGAATTCAGTCTGTACCAAAGAAAGGACTAGACACATCACACTTGTTATTACTGTCCAATCAAACTACCCACTACAGTCCTACAGGATGTTAATCACGAGCCCGAATGGCTAGCTCAGTGGCTACGTCTCTGACTGCAGGTAGCACTGGGTGACGCAGGTTCCAATCTCAGAAGGGACATGAGTTCCTTCGGTGTTGTACATACGCCTTGCTGACTGACTGGTGAGTGACAACTAGCACGAAACCTGGGTCAAGCAAGGCTTCCTGCCGATTGCCTCCAACTACACTAGTTAATTTTATTACATCTCAACGAAACGGTGTTGGACCTCTAACGTATAATGTGACTGTTATCTTCTAGAAACTTTTAGAAGGGATCAATTTGTGAGGAATTAGTAACATTTTCAAAAATTTGGGTGCTTTTGATCTGCTCATTACTGATTACTTCTCATCCGATCATGTAAAAATCAGTTTGAAGGAAGGCATAGCCTAACCATTCTATTCACTTCATAAAGATCTTCTGGATACAGATTTAGAACGCTGTTTCATTTCAGCTTGCTGTTGTTCTCCTGCAAGTGATGGATTGTGAATCGAAAAAAGCTTTCAAGAATTCTACAACTTACAGTCCAGGGAATATGTTCGATTTATAATTTGCAGTGATATCCTGAAATGAACAAAATATAACTTCATTTTATCAAAAATAAAAACTAATTTCCGGTTATAATTGAGCCGAATTCTGCAAAGGCAACTTGACTAGTTTTATCGACTACTTTAAAAACCGAATGACAATAACTCATTACCAACTCATAATATATTATGGTCAATAATAGTTACGTAAAATAGCCACCTCCAGCCCCCCCCCCGTTATGTCTACAGTGAACTTCAGTGACACGGAAGGATCAGATTGAAGTTACAAAAAAGATTGAAATAACATGTACACCAGGAAGACAAGGCTTATTACTATCACTGATGGTATTCCTGATTGTGGTGGACTGGATAATGCGGCACACCGTTCATTGGAGAGTGATTTTGATGAAATCCTGAAACCAATCAAATCCCTGCAAACCAATACTTGAATATCAATCTGACGCTGACTAGTGACTGAACCTATTCAGGTAGATAGTGACCTAAGTTCTAATGAAAAGTGATGACCACTGGGGTGCAGTAGGTCGGGTGTGAGGACACATACTTTCCATCGATGACAATCGCTGATGGTCGCGCCATACCATGAATTGGCAGAAGTTGGGATTCATGGACTAGCCATTGGATCAGTTCCCAGTGGCTTAAGCTCGTAGGTTCCTAGGTTCGAACCCTGGAAGTGGGTGCGTACTGCAGAAGAGTCCAAAACTAGAATAAAACAGCTGTCCGATTATCCCAGGTTTTCCAATGGTTCTCCGACTTATGTCAGCTTATAATGAAATCCTCCAACTAATGTCACAGAAACTCGAAGAACTACTGGCGAAAATCAACAAGTTGGCAAAAAAATGCAGAAAGCGAAGACAAGACTTTAAGTGAACATTGAGAAGACGGAGAGGATGAAGATACACACCAGCTAACAACAACAAGCACCAATCACTACCCAGGGGAAAAATTTAAAGAAGGTTACCTCTTCAACATTTGTAAGAAGCATCATTTCAGCTACACGTGGCATGGATGAGGATGTCAAAGACAGACCTTCATTACACTGAAGTTAGTGTGGAAATCTACTGCAGTAAATACAAAGAACAAGATCTGGATTTTCAGCACTAGTGTCAAGTCATTCACGGCTTCCAAATAGTTCATAGACTTGATAAGCGTCTCACTGAAAGCACTTGGAACAGGCTTTAAAATTACGTCAGCAGCTGTCTTCTCTTGGTAGTGAAGGCCAGATGACCAGAAGGGATTAGTAACATGGAACTCTGGGAAAGAGCGAACCCACCAAGAAGTTATTGCCAAACAAATATTCCGAAGAAAATGGCGATGTGCTGGAGAAATGCTTAGAAGACCGTTGACTGACATCAGAAACCAGGCTATCTGTCAAGTAGAACCTCAATGGGTAACGAGGAGTTGGGCGTGGTTTTGACGGTGATATGCAGGAGATTGTATGAGGAAGAGGTGAAAGCTTACGGACAATCATGGAGACAGCTAAAGAGAAGAGGATGAAGCTCTAAGTTCTATTATAAAGTATAAACGGATGCCATTTCCAATACCATATCAAATACCGCTACAAATCATCGTGGTACAGCTGAGTCTTTCACTTAATTTCAGGCCCAGTAGTCACTACTTAAGTGAATATAAGTACTAAATTCTGATTAATTTCTGCTTCTGATATTAGATTCTGAAGATTCGATTGCAGCACATGAAAACATTATATTGTAAATAGTTCCTTTTTCAAATAAGTGATAACAGCTGACTTGCCCTTTCATCTCTGGGGCTATATATAAGCCACCATAGGTAATAACCGTTTCTATTCAGACTAATGATGAGTTGACATGACAGATGTAGTCTGTTGAATGTTTGACGTCAATATACGACACTCAAAAGACTTTTATAAAAACTAAAATATGGCATACCATTTATGAAATTGAAAAAATACCTGTGTAAATAAGAGAGTAAAGAGCCTTTTCTTACAGTTACGATTTATACGATAGTTTGGTATGAATTATTTTTTACTCGGTGAAATTTTCAAAATTCTCTGACAAGATCAATAGTTTGTTGATCAATAAAGAAAAGTATGGCAGCGAATTTTTTATCTAGTCTAAGAAAAAGCCTTTTCAAATGTTCTTCTTCATTAGTTTATCAGTATGAAAATACAGTCATAAGGCATCGCACTTCTATGCAAAACACACATTGATGCACAGGAAAAGATAGACTTAAGATATGATGGAGGAGATTTGTAGCTCAGGTGGATAATTTTGATGTGGTTGTGTTCTCTGAGCCGGATAGTGAATTCGCGAAGCTCTCATTGCCCTACTAGGCAACATCTTCAGCACATACTTCATTTTAAAGTGAACTTTTAGATTTCTCCACAAGTGATTTCCAGCCTCTAAGCTACTTATATTGGAACTGATTGTTTCCTTGACCTGAAGTTTCACCCTTTGTGTGTGAGATTTCCTTCTTATCGGTTGGTAGATTTTGTCTATGTAAATGTGTCACCTTAAGTAAAACTGAAGAAAGTTATCTCATGGACGTCCTCCAAAAGAATGGATATCCTCGGAATTTCATCAAAAGACATATACCCCCAAGCCAACCTACCGAATCAAAGGCCCCCAAGGAAAGCACAAAGAAAATCGCCCTACCATATATAAAGGACATCTCAGAAATCACTGCAAGACTCTTCAAACCTTTAGGAATTGACCTCGCACACAAACCAACAAAATCACTTCACTCAGCTGGCTCTGTGTCAACCAGGATACTCAACAGCGGAAGATGAGAAGATAAAACCAACATCATCTACAAAATAAATTGTAACAACTGCGGAAAACACTACATTGGCCAAAGTGGACGTCCCTTTCGTCTTCGTATCCACGAACATAAGCTAGCCGTCAAAAGACATGACATCCACTCCATCCTCATATCGCCTCACTGCATACAGACAACCACGGACATCAATTCGACTGGGACAACCAATGTTCAAATATTAGACACAGGAAACACCAAGAATGATAGGGAATTTTTAGAAGGAAACCCAATATTCCAGTGAATCGTCAATCAATAGACACATTGACATAGACAAAATTTACCAGCCAATAAGAAGGAAACCTCACACACAAAGGGTCAAAGTTCAAGTCAAGGAAACAATCAGTTCCAATATAAGTAGCCTAGAGGCTGGAAAACACACAGAGACAATCAATCGCGTTCAAAATCACCCACCAGGTGAGATGATTAATAAACTTGTGGAGAAATCTAAAAGTTCACTTTAAAATGAAGTATGTGCTGAAGATGTTGCCTAGTAGAGCAATGAAAGCTTCGCGAATTCACTATCCAGCTAGCTCAGAGAACACAACCATATCAAAAAGATAAACTTCAGACAGTGATTTGGAGCGAACGCACCAATGACCCTGGAATGATGAATTCGATCTTCTAACTGTATCCTTAATCTTTCCTTAACCTGACCCTCATTCCCATCGAACCAACCCTCATATCTCCCTAAGTTGGTTAACCTCTAACCCTAACCTGTCCCAGCCTAAACCTTAAGTTATTCTTCCCCAAACCTAACTAAAACTCTTAAGAGATATCCTGCCTAGTACCTTATTTATATTAAATAGTGCAACTGAACTGGTTTCACCAAAATGCTGACTGAGCGTTCTAAGGTCTTCGATGCCTACAGTTTAATTTCGCCGAAGACTTCATCCCCTTTGGAGGTGTTCTCTACAATGAATTTTTCTCATTGATACCAGGAAAGTTACTGATTAAATCTCATAAAGCCTACACTATTTTAAAATCATTAATTCACCACTGCCAAATTTCAAATCTCATCCCAACAATATGACCATAAAGTGTTACTGTGGGGCTAATTAGATGTGCAGGATATCGTCAAAAGTGCTGCTCTATTTTTCAGTAGGGATTTTAGTTCCAAGTGCATGCATATTAACCTTCTTCATATCATACATATAAATAAATAAATAGAATTACTTTGTTAAGTGGTTGAAGGCAATCGTCAGGCTGCCCTGGGCTGGTCTCATGCTTGTTGGTAGTTGTCACCAAATCGTATCTGAAGTCTTCAAGGAAACTTTATCCCGTCTGTGATTCGAACCCAGACTATCCAGTGCTGCACTCAGAGGCGTTGACATTGAGATCTTCCAGATCGCGACTGATCACCGGTAAGAATGTAATGGTTGGACATGAGGCTAGCAACCCAACCCTGTAAAAATAATCACCACTGCAACAGGAACTTCAAGCCTCTAGCTTCAATCCCTATGTTCCACTGGGAAAGTAAAGGAATTAAAAAAATAAATAAATGAAAAATAAAATAAAAAAATAAAAAGGGTAGTAACTGATGTCATGGATCTAGTCCTTAGTGTTTGCTCAGACTGAATTCTGTGAGTCAGTTTTGCAATGTGACCTACATTCTAGGTGCTTACCATCAAGGTGCAATTCGAATTGTTGTTGTAAGATGGTTGGAGTCAGTTGGCAGGGTTCAAACATCAGAAGGGATATAAGTTCCTTCGAGAATGCAGATACGCTTTGCTGATGAGTGACAACAAGCAAGAAACCTATGTCTAAGACTTTCTATCGATTGCCTCCAAATGGTTATCAGTAATTCAAAATCCACCGTGATGGCTAGCCCCCCCAAGATTGATGGCCACATTGTAAAAATGGACTGATAGAATTCAATCCTCAGCAACACCAAGAACTGGATGCATGACATCAGCTACTAACTAATATTCACTCAAAGTAGAATTACCTTTGTGATTGTTACGCACTTTTTTCATTTTTTTCACTTTTTCTCTTCGGCTTATTTAGGAGTTTCCTGTTGATAACTACATTGAACTTTACAATCTTCATGAATACCTTCTGAATCATTTAGTGTCTAGATTCGATGAAGGCTTGATTACTGACTTCTACGAGTGAGTAGTTTTCTCGTAACTCTACGTTTTTTTTATTATTATGGTTTACATTACGCATAGGAGGTTGTGTGTTTTTCTTAAGGCAGTCTGATCGACAAATTATTCTGAATAATGGTAGAATAGCAGTTTGTACAGAATAAAATGGTACCATCATTTATAATATTAATAATAGCTTTACTCTGGACAATGTTTATAAAATGTAGAGAATTTTTTCGGCGGAGTCTATTGCATGATATTTTCCCTTCGTCCAGGATTCTCAAATAAGCGAGTATTTGGCAGTATATAGTGTGACATAATGTGACTTCCTCCAACACTCACAAATGAAGTTAGAAGAAATGGACGAACTCAAAAAAACAAATTTATCTCTTGTCATGCAGTTAAAGGACAAAATCAATCACTCAACTAATCTCAAAGTGCTTACCACGTTCAGTAATTTCTTTTCAGTATTTTCAAACATTCGTTTATAATGCACTTTGTACACTAACAATAGCGTGAATTATATATATGTATATTTTAATAGAATTTCTGAGATTTAGTTCATGTCGGTCAATACATGTAACCATAATAACCGTTGGTTTAAGCAATAAGCGTAATCGATGTACTAAATTGGTTTCTGGTGTAAATTAACTGTTCAGAATTGTAGTTTAAGGTGACAAAGTCTAAAGGAGAATAGACTTTTGAAAAGCATACATAGTATGGCGAAAATATTCATTCAGACATATATAAAACAAAAAATAATCGAGCAAATAATATTCTTTTCGATAAATTCCTCTTCCGGCTCTACAATTAAAATATATTAATATACACACAATATTTTAAAATAGTAGTTAATATAGGCCGTACAGTTTGGCGTGTTTCTCGTCGAATTTCCGAACATCACCCTGCGTGGTTAAGCAAAGGATAAACAAAATCTATTCGCAGTGCTATTTTGTCTCATCTTGTGGAGACAGAACACAAGATTGACGTTAATCATGCTTTCAGGGTCATTTACCGCATACCTACGAATCTCGATTTCGCTTTAAGAGTTCGACTTCTAAATATTGCTGAGGCTGTGGGGATTCATATTAATAAGCCTAATTTATGCACCCAAAAGAAGTTAGCCCAGTCATTATCATTACCTTGGCCATCCAGGTTTGAATAATCCGGAATTTTTGTGAAATTTCCCTAATTTTAGTTGATATTCTATTCGCTATTATATCTTTATTATTATAATTTAAGCATCTTTAATGAACTGTAATGGCATTGGTCATACTTTACAAATCAATATTATTTAAAAAACACTAATATTGTTATTAACTACTATTCTAGAATATTCTATTTATATTAACATATACATAATTGTAGAGCCTGGAAGAGGAATTTATCGAAAAGGATATTCTTTGCTCGATTATTTTGTGTTTTATACATAGTATGGTCAAATCGTATTGTATTTTCAGGTCAAAACTGAAGAAAGTGCTCCTTCGTTTTCTTGGTAAAAAGGATTCGAAATTTTAAACTTTGATTAAAGTCGTTCACATTTCGGTTTCATTTTTCGAAGTTGTGAAACGCTTTGACATTTAATAGGAAATAGGCTGTCAGAAATTAAGTGGCTACCCGTTTGAAGATAACTAATATGGGTATTAAGATGTCTGATTGATTCAACTGCAGTTAGTTAGTTATTGGTCTTTCTATTATTGTTCAAAAAATGCTCATCAGATTCCTTGTGGAATGCATAAACGGTGCGTGCCGTTGAAGAGTCCCTAACAAGGACAAAGTAGCTGTGCAGTACCTCCTGCTTTGTAATGGTTCTCTAAACGATGTCAACTTGTTGTCAGAACTGTAACCAATCAAATCACTGCCAAGCAGTATTTGAAAGGAAATATTTGTATCAGAATAAAATACCACTGAAATTTTAAGGTTTCATCATGAATTGACCATTGGAAAGCCTTCAGGGTGCACTGGGGAGCTGTTTCGTTCTAGTTTTGGTCTCTTCATCAGAACGTACTCACTGAGGTTTGAAACTAGGACCAATTTAATCCCTGAAAACCAACGCTTGAATAATAATCTGATGCTTACTACCGACTGAACCTATTCAGGTAGATAGTCAAATGGGTTCCAGTGGGAAATCGTGACGAGTGGGGTACAGTAGGCAGGGTATGAGAACAAATACTCACCAACGATGACATTCGCTGATGGTCAGGCCATATCATGAATTGGCGAACGTTGAATTTTATGGACTGGCCATTGGATTGGGTCCCATTGGCCTAATGGTCTACGAGCTCGCTAGCCTTGTACCCAGAAGGTCCTGGTTCTGAACCCCGATGAATGAGTACTTCTGAAGAGTCCCAAACTAGGACGAAGCAGATTTTCAGTACTCCCAGGTTCTTCAATGGTTGTCTAACCAATGTCAGTTCCTGATGAAATCCACTAGCCAATCAAATTCCTGCAAACCAACACCTGAATACCACTGAGATTGTTGGATGTTTTAGAAGTTTCGCTTTTGAAATAATGAAGGTTCTATTTAGATTTGCTCTCTGAACTGGCTGCTTTAATTTTAAAGTTCTCATCGTCCTTATAGGTGACATCTTCAACTGCTCCCTCCAAATAATCAGGAAAAGTAGTGATAGTGTTCAGAGATAATTGTAATGTTCATCTTGTTTAGAGTTTAGTGCTGGATATAGTGTCTATTAGGAAAAAGATATCTAAATAATTAAGCCATCCAGTTCAGTGAACATAATAGCACCAAAAAATTTGATTTATGATTTCCTCCAATGAAAAAGCAGAATTTAGGCACTGTGGTAGAGCGTAATTCCACATATGATAAGCTTAGTTGATATAAATTAATATGTAACTAGGGTGTATCCCAAATCTTTATCAACCTCACTCAACAGCTATATTACAATGCCATGTGTCAAGTGATCCACAACTGAAAACTCAGAAGAGCTTTTGAAGTGAATACAGGAGTAAGACAAGCTGGCTGTCCATTATCACCGATGATATTCTTAATTGTGGTGGACTGGAATATGCGCTAGACTGTGCACTGGGAGGGAGAAGACTTGAATACGCTGGACTGACCGATAAGAAGACTCTAGAAGATCTGGATTTCGCGGATGATTTGTGTCTTAAGTCACCAAAACTCGAGAATTTACAAGCGAAAACCAACAAACTGGCTGAATAAGAAGTAAAGATAAGAATTCAAGTGAACATAGAGAAGACGGAGCTGATAAAATAACCAGACAAAAACAACAGGCACCAATCATCATCAAAGGGTGGGATTTGACAGAAGTTACTTCCTTCACTTATCTGGTCAGGAAGCATGGTTCCAACAACAGGCAGTCAGAACGGATGTAGATGTCAAAGTCAGCATCGGAAAGGCCAGATACACCTTCATCAACCTGAAATCAATTTGGAAACCTTCTGCACTGACTCAGCCAGCATAAAGAACAAGATTCAGATTTTCAACACAAATGTGAAGTCAGTCAGTCGGTGCTTCTTGGCCAGAATGTAACAAAAAGGATTTCCAACAAGTCACTTCAGACTTTTATCAGCAGCTGCCCACTTCTCTGGCTGGCTCCATACTGAAGATCCAATGGCCAGGCGGCCGACCAGCCAGAAAAAGTAGCAACAGGTATCATAAATAAACAAGAAACTCTGGCTGGGAACAAACCAACCAAGAGCCAATGGCTCAACAAATATGTGGGAGAAAATGGAGATGGATCAGCCATATGTTGAGGAGACCATCGAATGACATCGCCCGCCAGGCCATCGTTCGAGTGAAATCCCAATGAGAAGAGACGAGTGGGTCGTCGGTGTGAGGGTGATATGGAGGAGACCTTGTGGTGAAGAGGAGATGAGAGATTATGGGCAGTCGTGGTCTCATCTGAAGAGGATGGCAGGAAATTGCTTAAGTGTAGATGTGTTGTAGAAGCCCTATGTTCCACTCGGAATCCAAGGGAATAATAATAAAATACTCGAATTACCACACAGTGAGTGATATATTATTAATAACTAGACGATGTTTGGAGCACAATTTACTGCTCATAATTATATCAGCTTCTTCATACGGCTTCCTAATTAGCTTAATATATTTTTTCAATTCCCCCTATTTTTCATTTGAACTTTCGATAAAACCAGGATACCTGTTGCGTCATTTCATCTGAACGTGTTCCTTGTCTATTTGAAGCACAATGATTCAGTGATTATTCTCTCTCTCTTTCTCTGTACCTAACTGTAATACTCTTCAATACTGTGACTACATGCATAAGAATTCATTTCAATGGCTGAAACTTTTTTCAAGTTTTTTAACTTATCAGAGTTAGTCGTTCTAGCTTTCGCTAAGTTTCTATCTTCCGATAATCTAATTGATCCTGATTCGCTCGGTTTACTTATGTGATTGATCTCAGAGTCATTATATGGTATTTGGTAAATTACATCATTTTTCTTAATTGAATCTATCGGGTCCTTAAGTCGACAAAGTTTATCTCGGAGATGGTTAGTTGACTTAAGCGCCACCCTAATTCCAGCCTCACATAAGGCGTCTGGTGTTCCTTCTTCATACAACAGTACTATAGAGCTTAAAACAGTTAGTTCCCTTTATGAATTTAGACAAAGCAATAAGAAGACGTAATTTCTCTGAATCGTGTAATGTCCTATTTGCGCAACACATTTCGAACAATCTGATCACACACGGACTTGTCATAGGAGTACATATATATGAAATTAATGAAGAGTTAAGAGGTGAGAAAATAGACCACTTAGGTCAAGTTAAAAGGACATATTGAAGGTCAAAATAACAATGAAGACCACTAAACCAAATAACCGAGGTAATATACATCTGTATCAAAACAAAGTTTACCAAGGAGTTTAGTGTGGTGACGAATTGCTTTTGAATGCATAAAGGTGGCTTAAACTTTCTAATCGTCAGGGCTTCCACAAACTTTAGGATACGCCCCAATCACGTTTTATAGATAGGTTTAAAAGATATGTTAAGTCAATTTTATGTCGCATCTCTATAATATATTTCGTAATAGAGGAGCTACGTCTCCTCTTCTCATCATTAATGTGTTCTGAAGATTCTGTTTGTTTCTGGAGCCATTTAGGAATATGTTCTAAAGCCAGCCCTTACTTGCAGAGATCGATGAGTCCTCCCTATGTATGTGTGTCCACATGTACATTCAAATTGGTAAATACAGTGGGATGTGACATCCTTTTTCGCATATTATAGAGACAGGACATAAAATTGACATTAACACATCTTTTAAACCTATCTATAAAACGTGTTTGTGGTGTATCCTAAATTTTGTGGAAGCCCTAGCTGGCAATTAGAAAGTTTAAACCACCTTTATGCGTTCAAAGCAACAATTCGTCATCACACTAAACCTTCCTTGGTACTATAGAGGCTTTCAGTTCCATGTCATTATCACCGTCATCATCATTACTACTCTTATTTTTCTTATGGGTCTTCAAACATTTTTGAAGAGAATTTACTAGTATAGTCTTCCATATTTGTTTGATTTCATTATTTAAATCTCCTGACTTACTAGTTAGGCTCATGGCTCAGTTATGTATAAAGAAAATGTGAGATTATTATTTACACTGTTTTCTATGACTTCCAATCACAGTATTAGTAGTATATAAACTTTTCCCTTCCCTTTTTTTCCAGATATTTTGATGACATATGGCCTTTAGCAATTTATCATGATCGATTTGCAGACTTTAGGTCTGAAATACGCGGATTAACAAGTACATGTTTGGTAAGCACTATTATCTAACAAGTGAATTTGTTAAGTGTATAAAAGCCTCTTCAAGTAAGTATAACAACAAAACACTTCAGTCAATATGTGTATACCAGCTGGTCAGAAATTATGCACAAAAACTTAATGCAGTACCTGTATAATATGCAATTAATTGTCACAAGCAGAATATGGATCATGAGGCGTGCATAAGTGAAGTAGTACTACTTCTACAATACATTGTGAACATTTTACAAACTTCCTTTTACATTTAAAGTATGTCGTATGAAACAGAATTAGCACTTAGCATATACCACGTATGTGGTCCGGGGTTTGATTCCCAGCCACTGACTCATCCCTTTACCTCGCTAAGCCACTAATAAAACTGGTGAAAAGGGAAGGTTGGGCACGAGGCTAGCAACCTCATCTCATAAAAATAATCACCGCTGCTACGGAAACTTCAAGCCTCTAGCCTGAAGTCCCATGTTCCACTGGGAACATAAGGGAATAAAAATAAAAAGATAAAAATAGAGTAATACTGATTCCTATGATGATTTTGTATTATAGTACAATCTCAGAATTAATTCTGTCATCAATATAGGTGGACCTAATGCCGAAAACTCCGAACAGTAATCACTTGAATAATATTTGTTTCATACTGCGTCGGTGGCATAGCGGTTAGGACGCCCGCCGACTATGCACATGGTCCGGGGTTCGATCCCCTGCCAACGCACTCCTTTACCTCGCTGAGCTAGCAAAAATGCTGGTAAAGAGGAAAGGTTGGTCATGCGGCTAGCAACCCCATCCTGTAAAAATAAACACTGCTACAGAAACTTCAAGTCACTAGCTTGAAGCCCTATGTTCCACTGGGAACGTGAAGGAATAAAAAAACTGCAGATAAACAGTTTTTACAGATTTTGTCTTGTTTTGTTTTCATAGGAAATTTTAAAAAGACGGTTGCACAGAAGAAATTCTTATTTCGACGAAGTCATCAGTTACGCTTTTCATTCGTTATATATATATATATAGTAACTGCTTGGGAAAGTTCCAGAATCATTTCCGGTCGACGGAGGTTTAAATGTGATGTTAACAAGATAAACAGGGGGATCTGATAAAAGCCTGATAGGACAAAAATTACAGAACAAGATTTAAGCAAATACGTATTTTCGGTAGATTCTCATTAGGTTTTACACTTACATAATGATGAAATATTAGCCATAGGCATTTGAATTAATGTCGTTAATAAAACATCAAGGAGTGTGAATTAATGATAATAACAAGGATAAATTCATTCCAGTGTTTATGCAATCTAGGCAACGGTGAGTGTATAGGTAGAATTTGCATACTAGTTGAGGGTAGAGGGGGAAATGACTGTTGTCAAATAGCGATTAGATAATACAATAATAATGATAAATTGTTAGACGGAGATTAAAATGTACAACCCCAGCACAGCATGATATTGATAATACAGTTAGTATTACAAATAAAATAAAAATATAATAAGATCATATTTACAGTTATCTGGTGTCAGCAGGATAGAGAACTATTTTAGGTTGGGGGCGAAGGCCAAAGGAGGGGATAGACTGAACATACTTTTCCTGAACACAGAAATTGGGTTGAAAAATCATAATAGCAACTGCCTCAGCTATGCTTCGCAACCGAATACGTACTATCCTAGGGAGTTGAGGTGGCACCGTGTGTAGCATTGTAAAGGCTGAATTTTTGTCAATATTGTGCCCCGTATCCATTAGATGTGCCATTATGGAACTTTTGACTGACTTTACGACTCCTCTACCTAACCACATTGAATAATGCTCCAGGAGGCGACGTTGGGCTTGTCGAGTCGTTCCACCTGTGTAACTGTCTCCACATGAACAGTTAAATTTATAAATGCATATTAAAGTGGCCAGACTTGGTAGCTAATCCTCCACTTCTGTTAGGATTATACAAGGATTGGCGAATTTTAAACACAATGTTACAGTAGAGATTATTTTAGCTATTAATTCCCGAAGTTTCTATGCCAGAAATTCAATTGCTGCGTCTCCTTTAAACGAGAAAGTCATGTATATGCACTTCTTTTGCACAGTTTGCAGGCATTTCTTTCGATCTGTTCTCCTCATTGAAACTTTAACAAAAATTTCGTGGTATCCCTACTCCTATAAAAAGTTTTAAATTTTCCTTATTTCATCATATAAAGCGTCGGCTGTGCAGATTTTTCTAGCATGACACATCAACGTACTGATAAGATTTCGTTTGTATGCAAGAAGAATGAACTACAAGAAATGGGTGTGATATTAGATAGTTGGAGGCAATCGGCAGGAAGCCTTGGATTTAGGTCTCGTGCTAGTTGCCACTTGCCAGCAAGGGGTATCCGCAACACTGAAGGAACTCAGTGGTAACATCTCTGACTGCAGGTAGCAGTGGGTGACGCGGGTTTGAATCTCCGAAGGGACATGAGTTCCTTCAGTGTTGAAGATGCGCCTTGCTTACTAGTGAGTGGCAACTAGCACGAAACCTAGGTTGAAGGCTTCCTGCTGTTTGCCTCCAACTATCTAATATCATCAAATCAGTGTGCACCGTGATGGCAAGCTACCTGGGATGGTAGCCACATTGTAAAGCTGACTGATAGAATTCAGTCTGCACCGAAGAAAGGACTTGACACGTCGCACTAGTTACTAGTGTCCAATCAAAGTATGAAATGGGTGTATTGGTCAACCAATGACTTCTTCCGGAAAAATTTTATCGAGAAAATTAACCATTTGTGCAATTGAGGATTTAAAAAACGTAGTAGTAACACAGATGAACAGGAACTTTGGATAAGAAAGGTAATAGGATAATCACTATTGAAAGAATTGACTGTTTATGATGACTGTGGTAAAGATAAAAATTGGGCGTACTTCTTTTGAACACATAACGTACGCCTGAACTCTTGGGCTACCACCAAAAATTTGCTACTGCTTTCTCCCGAAATTTAAAAGTCATACCCGCATAGAAACCCTCTGAAGATAGTTTCCGAAGTCTCGCAGCGGAACATGCATCCCTTTGAGCTCACAAATAATATTTTCTACAAAGAAACCATTCAGCCGTCACTTGAAAGACAAGCTGTCACATTAGACCACATCGGTATGCATATACCGGTTCACTTGTTTCTGTGGGGCCTAGTACATTGGCTATACCATGCAGCCGCTAGCAAAATGTGATCGCGAATACCATCTAGCCTGGTTAGGAAAGGAAGAAGGCAGGTGTGTATGGAAGTTTGGTAACAGAACATCTGTTGAACTCAGAATCTTCAGTTACATTTGAAAGTCTGTAATGCGCTAAATATCATTCAGATTATATTACTGTAGTACATCGGTGACGTGTGCTTCTGATAAGATTAGTTTCTGTAAGCGTATAATATGTGTGCATGAATTGGTTTTATAAAACTACATTTAGAGTTAATATAGGGGCGCTTCAAGTCCTTCAAAGTCATATACAAGATCCGATTAAGTCTCCAAAAGAGTAGGATCAAAGCATCTGGGCATAGCTGAAGTACCAGAGATCCAGAAGAAATACACGTCCAGTATTTGTCTCTGTTATAACCATCATAAACAGTTAATTCTGTTAATAATGATTATCCTAATAGGTTTCTTTTCTCAACTATCTGTTTATTTTGTTATTGTTACATTTTAATCCTTATTTGTAATCTTGTAAATTTAACCTTCGACCGCAAATAATTATGGAACTTCCCACCCCCTCCATTTCCTATATATGCAAGTGAATGTACAGTCTACTTGATGACTTCGTTGGCGAGAAAATTTCCTTCTCTTCAATCATCTTTTTTATTGTTTCCCGTTATTTTCAGAAGAGTTTTCAATACTGATGTTAAGTGTAGCGGAATAATGGTAATCCCTAAATATTTTGGATTCGTTTGCCTTGTTTTCAAAACACCCCACGATGATGCATAAAATCTCACTAATGCTTTTCTACCCACTACTAAAAAAATACTTATTTACTTATTGAGGTTTTAGTGGAAAGCTGTGATCATCAGGGTCCACCAAGCTGGACGTTAGGACAAACATTGGCTGGTGGTTAGACTATGTAGTGAAATGGCAGAAGTTAGAATTAGTGGGCCACTACATTCTGTTTTAGTGACCGAATGGTCTACGAGTTTGCTTCATATGCTGAAGGTCTTCAAATCCATTCCATTTCAGGATCATAGTTGAGTACTTCTGAAAATTCGCAAACATGAATAAAATGACTGACTAGTAGCAGCCCAGTGGTTTCAGTGGTTCTCTAGCTCAAGTCCATTCATTATCACAAATGAAATCTATAAAATTTCATCAAACCAACACTTGGATTAAAGTTTTCGTTTTATATTTCATTTTTACACTGATACAGCCTACAATGAATGAATCCCTGGCATCGAAAATAGAGGCGATCATTGCAGAAAAAGACGAGGTATGTTCCGTAAAATTTCAAAATTTCATTTAAGGTCATTTTTATCGGGTATACTGCACACTGAGACAGCTTTATCTTGTTAATTTCACAGTTTGAGAGACACAGTTGATATGAATGTGTCATTCAGTGAATAAAAAAGCCTCACTGGGTAAAACATCTTACAGAGTAATTACTGATAGCATACTGTCCAAGTTTTATAAACATAAATCAAGGGTTATAAGGTTTATGTTTTTTTTTATTTCGCCTTGGTTTTCCTCTTTATTAATTGAAACTATTCACAGTATTTGTGGTACTGATCATTTACTTCAGTCATCCGAGGATCTGGTTACCATTCTCTTGAATACGAGGTTAAATTTACTCTGTCTACTTTATTATTAGTAGCTGGATGGTTATGTTGACTTTAAGTAATTATTATGGCTCACATATCTGTGAATGATTACTGGTTAACAATATAAATATCTATCAGCTATTACCGATGACGATATTACTTATTGTGGAAGACTGGATCATACGGAACACCGTGCATGGAAGAGAGAAGGTAGCAATACGTTGGACAGACAAAAAGATTTCGGAAGACCTGGACCTCGCGGAAGATTTATGCCTGATTTCGCGCAAATTTGAAGAAGTACAGACAAAACTAAAAATCTTGCTGGAGAGGCTGGCAGCAAACACAGAACTTTACGTGAACATAGGGAAGGCAGTGATGGTGAATACACTCACCAACCAACAAGGAGCACGAAGTATTATCAACGGGAGGAGACGGAATGAATTCACTTTTATCACTTATCTGGACACAACCATTTAAACGACATGCGGCACCAGTGATGATATCAAAGCAAAGAACAGAAAGGTGAGATGCACCTTCATTATTCTGAATTTGGCCAGGAAATCTACTGCACTCACCACTAAAAACAACATTTAGATTTACAACAATAATGTCAAGATAGTAGTCAGTTCTTCCATGTGATTCAAAGACTTGACAGGTGTGCCACGAAAATCATTTCGAACAGGATGCTGTAGACTTTCATCAACACTAGCTCCATACCGAAGATCTAGTGGCCGACCAGAAAGGGTTGGCAACAAGGAAGACTGAAAACCAACCAACAGACCACTGTCTAACAAATATGTAGTGCAAAATTGAGATGGGGACCATCGAGTGATATCGTACGCCAGGAAAAACCCTCGAATGGAGCCGTAATTGGAAACAACCAGTTTGGTGTGGGGAAGAGTGTGACATGGAGGAGACAGTACGAATTGTAAATAAAAGCCTATGAGCAGTCGTGGGGAGTCATCTATAAACGATTGAAAGGAATAAGATGCAATATAGATGTGTTGTTGTAGCCTAATGTTCCACTCGTATTCTTACGGAATAATAATAATAACAAAAAGTACGTCTGTAATACGTTCGCATCTATGTTTAATACAAATCACTTTTCAGCATAAGTTTATGCACGTTATTGTCCCTCGGATCTGTAACTCTTGATCTACTAAGGAACAGACTGTTGGTTAAGTAGCTCAAAATCCTTCCCACCGAGTAGCGTTCATACATTCCTCATCTTCGAAATCTCAAATAATTTCAATAATCTGCATTTAATTTTTCTCTTTCTTGGCACTCACTCTCCTGTGTTGTTTTGCACTGATTTACACAAAACGTAGTCCGTCACCTAGGATGAGGCCCATTGTAAATTGTAAGCAAATAGTTTTTAGTTATTTAATTCAATTTTAGATTTTCCCGTCGATTGATCGGACCCACTGCACAAGAGGTGGCTTTCGTGGCCCAAGTGGTCTAGTGGATGACGCTTTGACGTCCGAAACTATAGGCACTGGGTTCGAGCCTCGGCGGGAACATCATCACTCACTGCGGAATGCAGGCACATCTAGATGACGAGTCCCAAATAGGAGGAAATGTGCGTTATCCTCGATTCCACTGCTAGTCGCCATCCACTAATTAACTTCAAATAGTTATTAGACTGATGTTATTTAATTCAAATCTATGATGAGTGCATTTCTATTATGGCACTGGCCTCTGTCATATTTACAATAATGCTGATGCATAGTTTACGGATTTAGAGTGAGATGGTTCAGTGCATTAGATGGTTGGAGGTAATCAGAAGGAAGCACTGTCTGACATAGGTTTCGTGCTAGTTGCCACTCACTAGACAGCAAAACGTATCTGCAACCTCGAAAGAACTCATGTCCATTCTGAGATTTGAACCCACGTCACCCAGTGCTACCTTCAGTCAGACACGTTATCACTGAACTAGGTATTCGGGTTAGTGACTGGCCTCCTGTAAGACTGTACTGGATATTTTTTTGATTGGACACTAGTCATTAACTAGTGTAATGTGTCTAGTTCTATCTCTAGTGCAAGCTGAATACTATCGGTCAAGTTTGCTATGTGGCCAGCATGCTAAGTGGCTTACAATCAAGGTGTACTGTGACTTTTTGGTAATAGATGGTTGGAGGCAATTGGAAGGAAGCCACCTAGCACGATGGCTACATTGCAAACTTGATCGATAGAATTCAGCCTACTCCAGAGATAGGACTAGACACATTACACTAGCTACTGACTAGTGTTCAATCAAAAATATGGTTAGGCGTGTTAGAATCACTCTACTTTTTTAGCAAATTACATTACTACTAATGTACTCAAGGCTGACAAAATCTCAACATGGATAAACAAAGGCTCGTTTGACAACTGACAACTTGGGTCATCTTTGGTTCATATATGATATCTGGCCCTCTGACAGCAGCGACAGCAGTACTTCACAGATGTGAGACAGGGATTGAAAGGCAAAAACTTGAGAACATTGGCTAATTTCAACCATATGTGCTTTCTCGTTTCATTTGGGATATTATGTTCACCAATAACCAAATTAGATTAAGGATGTTAGGTGAAGGTGGAGAGTCAATCGATGATGTTGTAAAACTCTATTCTCTGAGATGGCTAGAAAATGTGGTCTTCATGAAAAACTTGCGATTATTCCATATCTTTTGATTTCAGCAGGAATTTGTACTCATTCTTATTATGAAACACAGGGAACTAATGTGTGCGTGTGTGTGTTATGCACGTCCTATCACAAATAGTCAGAGATCAACCAGAAAAGGCATCCGTCTGTTGGCTTCTCCTCGTTCCGAAATTAGCAAAAAAAACAATAAATGCGCCTCACGATTGATTTTCAACTCTAAAAGGAGACAGAGAGCAAACCGAGGCCATGTAATCATCATGTGCATACAGAGAAGCTCTATTGGAAATCAATCTGTAAAGAAGTTGAAAACTTCTGTAAAGACCATTCTCAATGGTGCTGATGAGTTATAATCAGCACAAATAGTGAAACCATATCTTCATATTTCTATTGAACATTAAGTAGTAAATAATGTCATGTGTCTATTCCTTGGTGTTGGTACAGGCTGCAATCTATGTGTCACTTTTGCAATGTGACTACCATGCTAGATGTGACTCACCTATACTGTAAACTCTGCACTGTTATTATTAGGTGGTTGAATGTGATCGGTTGGGTCCAAATCTCAAAAGTGACATGAATTCCTTCAAGGTTACAAATACACCATGCTGAAGAGTACCAACAAGTACGAAACCTAGGTCCAAAGCTCCCTACCAATTACCCGCAACCTTCTAACACATATATTTTCCCTTATGATATTAATTCACTTCACATATTAGGCATATTTCACATTTCCTTGACAGATTTTAACTAATGTATCTTCAATATTCAATACCTATCAATGTGTGTATACCATTTAATGTGTGATTTGAAAGTTTCTTTATATGTGGCTGCAATCTTGCATCATAACACTGTCTCCAGTCTAGACAAGGGGGATAAGTTTGTTCGCTGTACCTTCCTAGATTACACATTTGCTTTCGACTTAGTACCTAAGGACATTTTGCTGAAACTCAAACTGAATGTTGGGTTATCAAATGCCTGCATTCTTATTTCTCAGGAAGAAAGCAGTACACTGTATGCCGGGGGAAGTCGTTCACTTCATTGCTTACTAAGGCTGGTATCCCCGGAGTGCTGTCTTTCCTCCTTTTCTGTTTTTGTTCTTCTTGCATGAGTTGCCTCACTCTGATGATAAAAAATGAACTTTGTTAAGTATGCGGCCGATCTAACTATTTCAGTGTCTGTTAACTCCCAGCTAGACTGTACTAAGATGAACAGCTTTCTATCAGGAGTTAGCAAATAGTCTCCGTCTAATCGTCTCAAACTAAGTCCTTCCAAATGTCAGGCTATTAACTTCAGTTTCCGATGTAAAAGAAAGTTAAATGATGAAGCTGTTGGTTCCTATGATAGTGGGGATATATAAATCAAGTCTGAAGTTAAGTATTCTAGATTACTTCTTTCTTGGTCTTCCCATATCTTAGCGATTTCTAATACAATATTTCGTCTGACTTTTTACATTAAGAAGTTGAGGCACTCAGGCATTACTCAACCCCTCCTCTCATAATTTGTCAACTCGTGCATCTTACCTATTCTTCTTTACTGTTCACACTCATTCTTCAATGGATTGCTTAAAAAAGACTATGTGATACTTCGTAGAACTCTGAAGACTGTCAGTAGGGTGAGTGGTATTCTATTGGGCCATGTCGTTCACATCGTCACTGACAGACACTTGGTTTAATGCAACAAATTTGCTAAAGGAGACTTGTCAGAATGTGAGCATCCACTGCAGCACCCACAGCTCCAACCTCGTGTCTCCTCAGGTTAAACAAGAAATCTTTTCCGAAGACTATATGCACGTATGTCTAAATATAAAAATTCCACTATACAATATTTGGAACGTATTTTATGTGATGAAAATAGTGTTAGGCCTGAACTAACTAACCTTCTTTGCACTACTAAATAAACCAATTCCTCCACCCTTACAACATCAGCCTTTATTCATATTGTACTTCTTATATTTATAATCCTCTCAATGTCTTGTTTTCATTCGTTTATTTTTCCATAAGTGTGAACGCTATTTAAGCTGTGTTATAACTGTTAATTTTGTACCTCCCCTCACCATACTATATCAGCAGAACATAAGATTCAATACCCTATAACATGCTAAAATTTTCAAACTGAATCGACAATGCTGTTTGAAACAAACTCACTGTTATTATTATTATTATTGTATTTAAAATTCTCAATCCGCACTTCGAATATTTTTGACTTAATGTCGTAAATGTGGACGGATTCCTCTGGTTAATTTTGTTTTAATTTTATTTATATTTTGAGTAAATCAGATGCAATATTGTGACGAATGCTGAGAATTCCATTCTGTGTTATAAGTACTGTTTTTGGAATAAAGTAGATTATTTTTATTATTATCACTATTATTATTAAACTGAAATTAAACTTATTAATCGGTTGATTCTATTTTTATATTCCGAGGATTATTTATTCACAACTTTTGTTTGTTTTCTTGTTTTGTTTTCCAACAGGTACCATTGAAGGATTTTGAAGAATTGAAATCCTTATATAATAATGGATATAAAAAGGATGTTGAACAACGTCTGATTAAATTTATTTCACATAATTACAATCTATTACCAATGTATGCCAAACCAGATCTTGTTTAGTGGATTTCTACACACATCTCTTTGCTTTGTCTTTGCTTTCTTTCCTTTCTACACTCTGTTGTAATTCTTCTTGAAGAAGACAAGAAGACAGTGTGTAGAATATAATAATAACACAATATCAACAATTGACAGCAAATAGTAAAACAAAAAAACAAATTGAAATATGGAACATTTCAAAAAGAGTAGACAAACAAAGCATTCAGACAACAATAAATAAATTGCTTCATGTGTTAACTGTAAAAGTATGTAAACAGGTCACACTCTTACTATTATTACTAGTTGAATAATAAATAAATAAACAAAATAAAAATTGAAAAAGTGCTGTTTTTTCACCTTCGAAATGGCCTATACACTTTTGGTTGGACACTAGATAGTAAATAATGTCATGTGTTTTGTCCTTGGTGCAGAATGAATTCTACCAATCGAATTTGTGATGGCGAGCTATCTAGTATGTTGGCAAATCAAAGTATACATTACAGTCTTAGATGAGGTTAATCGCGAGTCCAAATAACTCAGTGACGACGTCTCTGAGTGCACCACTGAATGACCTAAGTTCGAGTGTGTGAAGAGACTTGAGATCCTTCAAGACATCAGAAACTCCCTTGGGTTCCTAGTGTATCATAGGGCTTCAACAAAACATCTCCACTTTGTTCTGTTTCCTATTTTCCTCTTAAACTGGGCCCACAATTGACTATAATCTGTCATCTACTACTCCAACTCACACGATCTCCTCCATGTCACCCTTGGATCAAAAACCCGCTTGTCGCTTCCCATTGGGATTCCACTCGAGCTATGGCCTGAAGTGAGCGCCATGTCAGCTGAGGGTTTCCTCAATGTATGCCTGATCCATCTCCACTTTCTCCTACATATTTGTTGAGCAGTCGACTCTTGCTTGTTGGTTTTTTGCAGCCAGCCAGAGTTTCTTGTTGCAAATTCTTTCTCGCTAGCCGGCTGGTCATTTGATCTCCAGTCTGGAGCCAGCCAGAGAAGTGGGGCAGCTGTTGATAAAAATCTTGACGACTGTTTTGTTCTTGTTCAGAAGTTTTGAGCAGTATTCACCCATCACCAAACTAGGGATTGAATCCAGGACGTTCAGGTAATGAGGCAAACGTATTAACTATTCAGACACTGGGATGGAATCCTACGGCTAGCGCATCAATTCCAACCTCTACCATTTCGCGACTGATTCGATCATAGTGACTGCATGGTCAATGATTTCATCTCATAACTTGAAGGTTCAGGTTACGATCCCTGGTGGTGAGGTTATACTACTGAAGAGTCCCAAACCAAGACTAAACAGGTTTGATGATATTAGATAGTTGGAGGCAATCGACAGGAAGAAACAACCTCCTTTACCTACCTGGGAAGCGTGGTTCCAACTACAGGCGGACGGAACTTCTGTGGATATCAAAGCGAGAATCAGGAAAGCAAGGCAAGCTTTCATTACTCACACGTCTGTGTGATGATCAACAGCACTCCACATGCAAAATAAGATCCGGATTTTCAACTCCAATGTGAAGTCAGTCAGTGCTACTATATGGATCAGAGATTTGGCTCCGTGTCACGTAGTGAACTACAAGCAAACTACAGACTTTCATCAACAGCTGTCTTCGCTCAATACCACTAAAGATCAGATGGCCGGCCAGAAAAGATCAGCAACAGAGATCTCTGGGAGCGAACCAACCAGGAACCAACTGTCCAACAAACAAACAGTAAGAAATGGAGATAGATTAACCACACACTGAGAAAACCATCAAATGACATCACTAGACAAGCCGTCGAGTGAAATCCGAAAGGGAAGCGGCGAGTTGGTCGTCCAAGAGAGAGACTTGGAGGAGGTCATGTGAAGAGGAGATGAAAGCATGTGGGCAGACTTGGAGCCAGGTGAAAACTTTAGCAGAAAATTGAACGCGATGGAGACGTGCAGTCGCGAGCCCGAATAGCTAGCTCAGTGGTAACGTCTCTGACTGCATGTAGCACTGGGTGAGGCGGGTTTGAATCTCAGAAGGGAGATGAGTTCTTCCAAGGTTGCAGATACGCTTTCCTGACTAGTGAGTAGCAACTATCACGAAGCCTAGGTCAAAGGCTTCCTGCCGATCGCCTCAAACTATCTAATATCATCAAATCAATGTGCATCGTATGGGAGCTACCTAGAATGGTGGCCCCACTGCAAACCTGACTGATAGAATTCAGTCTGCACCAAAGAAATAGACACGTCGCACTGCTTACAAGTGTCCAATCAAAATACTAAACAGGTTTCCAGTAAACACCGCCGCTGGTTTTCAATTGTCCTCTAACTTGTATGTCTATTAGTGATCAATCTTCATATCAATCAAATCTGTAGGAACAAACACTAGAAATTTAGTTAAACTTATTTTGCATAATGATGCTATGAAGTTATTGAGTAAGATTTTGTTTAGTGTTAACAAAGGTTGGATAGCATAAAATTAATTACTGTACACCGATCGATTTGTATACTTAGATATTTCATTATAAGGTAATAATTACACAATATTATAATCTATTTGGAATGTATACTTTATACCCACACAATACGTTTGAAACAGTGTGACCTAATATTCTAATTTCCTTTCACTTTGTTACAGACACTGATATTTAGGTAAACAGAGTTTCCAAAATCCAAGTTATGTGTGTGTATTCAACTCACACAGGATAGAATAATTTTTGAACTATAAGAGTATGCATGTCTGATTTGATTGCAATGCAAATATTTACATAAATATAAACACCTACATAAACACATTATTCTGAACACCTTACACAAGATTCACTTATATTTTTGAAATAGGTCATGCATCCTTATATATGAATTTTATGAAAAAACTCATTACTAGGATGAGTAGTTTTTGAAATGTTGTCCTGTTATGATTCGGGTCATATTGACGGAAAACAGTAGACAGTCTGTAACTCCAATATGCACATTCCTCTGTGAATTAAAGTGTATTATATTTTGTGGTATATTTAAACAGCCTTGTTTGAAAGATCTTTGACTGGTTGGAGGATTTCATCATGAGCTGACCATAAGTTAGAGAACCATTGCAAAACCAACTGGGAGTACTGCACAGTTGTTTCGTCTTAGTGCTTAGAACTCTTCAGAAGTAAGCACTCACCGCCATGTTTCGAACCCAGGACCTTCTGGTCACGAGGCGAGCTCGTAGACCATTAAGCCACTGGGACACAATCCAATGGCCAGCGCATGAATTCCAACTTCTGACAATTCATGACACAGATCGACCGCTAGCTAATGTTTTCTTCGATGAGTAACTGTCCTCACGTTCGACCTGCTATACCCTACTGGTCACGGCTTCCCACTAGAAGCCCAGTTTAACTGCTTGAATAGGACCGGTCGCTAGTGACCAATTTTCAAGTATTGGTTTTGTAGGGATTTTGTTTGATTGGGTGGAGGATTTCATCATGAGCTGATATCAGTCAGAGAACCACTGACGAGGAGTCCCAAACTAGGAGAAAACAGATGTCCTTTACTCCCTGCAGGTTTTCCAATGGTTCTCTAACTGATGTCAACTCATGATGAAATCCTCCAACCAATCAAACAAAAAATCCCTACAAAAACCAATACTTAAAAGATCTTTATTTATTGATACTGTAACGGGAGAAGAAAACAGATACGGTAACGGACGTTTATTTATTCGGCTAGGTCAGAGGAGAATAAATTGTTCTGATTGGTTTGCAAACGACTCAAGGTTAAACAAGTTATCCACAACATAAACGATGTCCAGGTTTGAGGAATAAACCATTTCTGGCTCTGCAGTCATTGACTCAAAGTGTTGACACGCTACGGTATAATATTCAGAGTTCGGTGATAACAGATGGTCAGTTGAAGTGTATCTCTGTGACTATTGGGTTTCAGAATAAACCTTTCAAGGTTATCTAGACAAGTAAACTTCTATGTGTGTCAGATATCTTATTGGTAGCAACCACTAGTATACAAAATGATTTCCTTTTCTATAACCAATACATAAGCAATCACATGTCAAAAGTGTTAGGACTATTTGTTGTCTATCCCTCGGTTACGCAAACAAATTGTGCTTCGTTGTTTACTGCACAAAACATGGGCATTCAAGTAGTATTATTTGTGAAAGTCATGTGAAGGGTTTGAATGAATTGAATGTGATCGGTGTACTGTGTATGTCTAATATTCATGAATAATCCCTATCCAGACAATAATGAAAACAAAACACATAGTTCAGCGAAGAGTCTCTTATTTGTTTCGTATGCCTGCGTACATCAGGCTTGGTCGATCAGAATAAAAATAAGTTAGAGTTATTGTTGTCAAGACATGTTAAAAATGTGATGAGTAATCAAATTGTAACCATGAGGGGAGAAGATTGGTAAGAGGGTTGTGTTTTTATTCCTTTACGTTCCCAGTGGAGCATAGGGCTTCGAGATAGAGGCTTGAAGTTTCTGTAGCAGTGGTGATTTTTTACAGGATTGGGTTGCTTGCCAGTCTCATGCCCAACCTTCCCTCTTGACCAGTCTTACTACTGGCTTAGCGACGTAAAGGAGTGCGTTGGTGGCGGGGGATTGAACCCCGGCCCACCTGCGTGGCTAGCGAGCACTCTACCTCTCGTGCCACTGACGCACTGGTAAGAAGGTAGTGGTGATGAGTTGTCAAAAAACATAGTTATTAACATATAAAAGAAGTTGAATAAGTGTAATACAGTCATGTAATAAGATGAATAGTTTAATGAGTGAGTTGTGATTAGAATGAACATAGAAACAAGGGAAAATATGGAATTACATAAGACTTCTTAAAATTACAAATGTTATAAGGACTTAGAAAAACAAACAAAAAAGTACACAAACATCAAATCAGTAGAAGTCAATACGGTTGTTAACATGCTGCTAGAAGCTGTTGGATGATTTTCTTTTGTATACATAACTCTGACTTTTCCAACTGAATTACAAAGGCTTCAGCAATACAAAGGAGAAAAAAAAGTAGGTTGTTCTTCACTTTGTAGATCACTTTGAGGAGGCGTTCGTTGAGATGGACTGACCAGTGTTGACGAGATGTTCTATTATCGCACTCTTTATACAGCCAACATTACCTTTTTGTAGCGATGCAGGATAGTGTTCTGGAATCCTTTTGGATGGGATACGCGTCGAACAACCAATGTACCTGACACCACAGCAACAAGTGAACTGATATATGCTTA